AAGCTTAGGTTAGCCAGAAACGAATTCGACCATATGATAGACTTAGGGAAAATTCGACCATCATCCCCATTGCACATGGTCCTTAAAAAGGACAGCAACGATTGGCGGCCAACTGGTGATTATCGGCGTCTGAATGCAAAAACCATTCCCGATCGTTACCCGTTGCCTCATATTCACGATTTGACAGCTACCTTGAAAGGTACAACTGTCTTTTCGAAAATCGACTTAGTTAAGGCTTACAACCAAATACCGATGGCAACCGACGACATTTCTAAAACCGCCATCATCACTCCTTTCGGTCTTTACGAATTCTTGCGAATGCCTTTTGGTTTAAGAAATGCGGCTCAAACCTTCCAAAGGTTCATAGATGACGTCTTCCGAGGTCCCAACTTCGTACATGCTTATGTTGATGACTGTCTCATAGCACGTCCGGACAGAGAATCACATCTCAAACATCTGGATATTGTTTTCGATCGGCTCCAAAGACATGGCATTACTGTCAACATTCAGAAATGCCAAATCGGAACCAACTTATTAGACTTCTTAGGACACAATATTGATGCCCAAGGCATCCGACCCCTTAGGAGCAAAGTGGCGGTCATTCTGGATTACCCAGAACCGTCCACTATCAAGCAGTTGCGAACTTTTAACAGCCTTGTAAGTTTCTACAGACGGTTCATACCTAAATGCGCATTTCTTATGAAACCGTTAACCGACCAACTTCGTGGAAATGCAAAATCAATTAGTTTAGACGACACAGCCCGTGAAGCATTCTCCACATTTAAGGAACACATTGCTAAGGCAACCCTGCTTGCGCATCAGGACACTCAAGCATCCTTTAGTATCGCCGTAGACGCATCCGACTCAGCAATCGAAGGAGTCTTACAACAATGGGTTAACCACTGCTGGCAACCTTTAGAATTTTTCTCGAAACGGTTGCTAGACGCGGAATCTAGGTACAGCACGTTCGCTAGGGAACTCCTAGCTATGTATTGTGCTGTACGGCATTACCAACATTCCATCGAAGGAAGAGAACTCATGCTTCTTACCGATCACATACCTCTTCTCTTCTCTTTAATTTCATCTTCAGACAAATACTCGCCGCGAGAGTTTCGATAACTCGACTACATTTCGCAGTTTACTCCAGACATACAACACATTTCTGGAGCAAACAATGTAGTCGCAGACGCCTTGTCTCGAACAAGTTCCTTGAACAGTTTCCAGGGGATCGACTTTCTTAAACTCGCTCAGCTTCAAAAAGAAGACATTGATCTTCAGCATGAGTTACCCTCGACAACTCTTAATCTAAGTATTAAGCAGATGGGAACAGGTTAGGAAACCTTACTTTGCGACGCATCTACAGGTAGGAATCGTCCAATAGTACCAAAACATTATCGACGCAACGTCTTCAATACGTTGCACAATCTTTCTCACCCAGGTGCTCGTGCAACAGTCAAACTTATAGTCGAACGGTTTTGCTGGCCTGGTATGAATAAAGACATGAGGAAGCGGGCACACTCCTGTGTAAGCTGTCAGAAATTTAACGTCATAAGACACAACAAATGTCCCTTAGCCTCTTTCAAAACCTCTGACGCTCGTTTCGACCACGTCCATCTAGATTTGGTAGGACCCTTGCCAGATTCAAACGGATACTCATATCTCTAAACATGCGTAGACCTTTTCAGTCGATGGCCAGAAGCAGTACCTATTAAGACATTACTGCTGAAACAGTGACTCGCACTTTCGTCGAACGATGGGTAGCGAATTTCGGCTGCCCTTCCACGATCACTACAGACCGCGAACGCCAGTTCGAATCTGGACTTTTCCGTTGTCTGGCCTCACTATTAGGAATCACGCGCTTCCGAACGACAGCATACCACCCACAAGCAAACGGGTTGGTAGAACGTTTTTATCGACAACTTGAAGCTTCACTATCAGCTGCAAACGTTTCTATGATAATTAGAAGTATTTGAATTGTAGTATAAACTAGTAATCCCAGGAATAACGCAATTTAATCAAGAAGTATCAGATGAACTCGAACGAATGTATTGTAATTGGAATTCAAAATTACAACAGTCATCAATACTAAGAAGTCATTGATTTATTTAAACACCACAGTTTCACAGTGAACAGACGCTCTTCCACTCGTCTTGCTAGGTATCCGCAATGCGGTCAAGGCTGACATTGGATACACTGCATCTCAGCTCGTTTACGGGACGATACTCCGACTCCCAGGAGAATTCGTGGATCCTTCAGCTTCTTCATTGAACATGGATCTAAACTCTTACACGAGCAGGCTTACTAACGCAATGCGTTCAGTTAAACCTGTTCACACTCGACCTCAATCAACTGATGTTTTCGTTCAACCTGACTTACGACATAGTACACACGTCTTCGTCCGTCGAGACTTACATCGACGACCCCTCGAATCAGCATACGAAGGACCCTTCAAAGTTCTTCAACGTGAACCCAAGTACTATGTAGTCGATAAGAACGGCACGAACGACAGCTTCAGTATCGATCGCTTAAAAGCAGCGTACTTAGAAGGAAACCCTAGCTACGTCGAGCTTCCTTCGGTACAATCGAACAATATGGCTCCTACACTTGCAGTACCCCATAAGACAGCCAACACACACCTGGATACTTCGTCAACATCGGAAAATAAACTTGAAACAACGCGTTCTGGAAGGAGAGTAAGATTTCCAAAACATCTAAACGACTATTGCACGTAGGACACAAACTTCATCTGGAATTCACTTTTCATTGTTTATTATAAAAAATAATTTTTTTTAATATGCTCTTTTTTTATTTATTAAAAAAAGACAACATTTTTATACTTATGAGCGTATTTGTATTATATATATATATACATATATCTATATATATAAACCAAAAACACATTTTTTTCCGATCGCTTTTACGCTGTTTGCAAGTGTATTAGTTTATTTTTTTTCACGCTCATCTTGTGTCCTTACGCAAGTACGAGTGTATTTTCGACATGCACTCAAACGTTCTATTTTTTCTCTTTTCCAGGGCGGCTGGAAAAGAACGACGAAGTTTTCCCAAGGAACCGAAATTTTCATTGTATTTTATTTCTTTATTGTTATGTTGTACATCATGGTCCCTTAGTTTAAGGAAAGGCGACCAGACGCTGCTAAACGAAGCAAGCTATCAGAAGAGTGTTTACCAAAGACAAACTCGTTGGGTTTAAACTTCTGGCTGGTCACGTCTTAGAAGCATCACTACCTCACTAGGGGAGCAGTGATCTGTAGCTGTAAATAATTCCCCAAAATCAATAGATTTCTAAGTGTCCGACATTGGATGCCAACCACGTTGTTTAAGTGGACTTGTTTAACTGAAGGCTTTCGGTCATGCATCCGTACCAGATCACGTTTCAACTCGGCGTGGGACACAGCTCCTACGTTTCAATAGTCAGCTGAGAACGAACGCCTCTCGATATATTGGTAACGTATCAAATATATCTTTCCTACCTCTTCTCGTCTGATTTCTGATTTCTATTTGGTAAAAAGGGTTTCGATTATAGAAGGTGCTACTGGTAGCTAATTGTAAAGTTAGAATATCAGCCGTATCCTCAGGTTAAAAACCGGTGTACATTGAAGTCAGATTGATCGTAAAACGACATTATAAAATGGGTGGGTTAGTGAGGAATAAATAAATGGATCGCTCTGTTATAGTTGTGTGAGGGAACGGTTTATCCGTGATGTAGAGTTTACAGTCATCATCTATATATTCCATCAAGAACAAGGTATCTATGATTCTAAATTCTTGCTATTACATAAACCACTGCATAAACTTCATCCCCTTAAAATTTTCATAGAAAACGCTGGGATTCTGCTGCCAATATTGTTTAATCAATTACAAGGACGAACAACTTCTGGTTAAAGATTCATAACAAGCATTAGAACATCAAACACACCTCTTACACGTCTAAGTCTTGGATTACCAACAGCTGACAACAATTTATTTTTTAATAACAATATGTTACAAGAGGCACGTTATTTTCATGGCATGATGAAATTGTGAGTTGATGCAAGTAAAGTTCGAAGCTATTAATAACAGGAAGTAATACGGCAAAAGTATAATCGGTCAGTTAAAAACGCCATTTTTTACATGTTATTTTCGAAGCATCAGAACCCGAAAATTTACAAGTTTTAGGTCTTTTTCGCCAGCATCTAATCTAAGGTGTTGTTCTTTTTCGGATTCCCGTCATTTTACACGGTCCGCAAGCGGTAAGTCCTTACGGAGATAAACTCCTGAACCTTTCAATTTATGTCCATTCTGTGAAATTAGATTGCGTTCATTTGGAGATTTGAATACTGCTTTAAGCTGTCCGAAATGATTTGGCTTCAAATATGTCAGGCTACTTAGTCTATACAGCTTTAGCAAGGTGACCGGAGATATTTTGAGGCATAACTTGATTGATTAGGTGTTTTATCAACACAATGTCATGCTAAAAACGAGCTTTCGGTTCAGAGCTTTCACTCTCTTTGATTCTATGAAAAATAGCTGATCTGTCACCGTGATCAGTCTTCGGTGGGGGGCATGGTACTCTTTTACGTCGTTACATCGTTTATCTGTGCTTACAACCTGTAGCCAATCGTCGATGTTGGTTGGAGTAGTGACCACAGTCGCGTCCGGAGGATTGCCGACGATTTGGGAGGTCGAGTCATGTTTTGCGCTGTGATTGCCCCGCACTAATCTGCGTAACGACAGATCGAGTTCTGTCCGACGTGCCCCGACCGCGCTTGTCAAGACAATTTTTCTCAGAATTGACCATTGAGATGGCCTCGGTTAACAAGCTATTTACATCCAGACAGCACTGTTGACAGAGCTATACGCAACCATTCTTACTGAACCGTTTCAAAACCGCAGGCTTTAGATTTGTGCAGATTTCGTGGTACCAGACTTTGCGCTCATCGCACTGCATGCCGCTGTCAACGGGATATCGACAGCCTGGACGCTGGCAATTGCTTTTATTGCTAAAATAACTCATAATGTCATTGAATAAGAAAAAGAGAATTCAGCGAAGAAAATTTTCTTTTCGACGAAATCATTTACTTAAGCTGTACATTCGTATATATAGTAATATGGAAAATATATGTCTATAGGAGGCTAAAAAAGATTGCATTACAAAATTGATTCGACAATAAATAACAAATGAGGTGACGTACTAATCAAGGGGTAAGGGAGAAAATAATTTATGGGTCAGATAATAGTTCAATTAACAGATATGAAGAAGAGCGACAAACACAAAGGTCATAATAATAATAATAATCTGAGTAATAATCAAGAAAACTTGTATAAAGTAATAATAATAATAACGGATTAGAGATTAAATGTAAAGTAGTAATTTAAAAAACAAAAAAAAACCGATAATAATCAGATAAAAGTACAAAAAACCAAAAAACGTACCCAATGAGGGAATTAGGGCCAAGGAAGGGTAAGTGGTTGGACAAATCGTTTCTGCACGCAAAGTTCAGGCTTCAATTCATGGATTGCCAATGCCTCAGCAGTGCATAAAATATTAATTCGACCTCCCTTTGATCCGGTTCCTTTAACTCTATAGATTATTTTAAAAGACGTCTCTTTTGGAGCAATGTGTCCGCAATTGATCAAGTGCTCTTGTATCGAACTGGTTATCTTCTTACATTCCCCTTTTAGGAGCCAAGCTGGATAGTGTTCAGAGATACGTTTGGAAAGCGATCGCTTTGTGCGGCCTATATAACGTGCTCCACATGAGCAAGTAAATTTATAAATACACATCGATGTGGCCCAAAGCGAAAGCTTATCCTTAACACACCCCCGAATGGTAGGCCGGCTAGAGAAAACGATTCGGAGCTTGGCTGTGTAGAAAGTTTTATTCAACGTTTTTGAAATCCGTTTATTCAGGATTTCAGCAGCCGTGTCTCCCTTGAATTCCATATTCATAAACAAGGTTTTCTTCTGCACCGTCAAAGTTATTTGTTGCTGACGTCTAGATGTTAAGTTGCTATCAACGAACCTCGGTGGATAACCATTTTTGATGAGGGTCTGTCGAAGATGAAGTAATTCTTCATTTATTGTGTCACTAGAACAGATTCGCTTAATCCTAGATGATAAAGAGTGAATTAAGTTCCTCTTTCGACTCAATGGAACCCAACTATGGAAATTCGTGTATTGTCCATTCCAAGTGGGTTTTCTATACATAGATCTTTGTAAATAACCATCAGGCAATCTTTTCAAATGGACATCAAGAAAATGGAATTCGTGGTTCGATTCTGCCTCTAAGGTAAATTGAATTGAAGGGTGACAGTTATTGAAAATATTTAATATTTCATTGTGGTCCATGTTATCATCACAAATAATGAAGGTATCATCCATATATCTCTTATATAAATGAAATTTCTCGATTATTTGACGAAGTGCTGAATTTTCTAGATTGGCCATGAAACAATCAGCCAAAAGAGGACCCAATGGAGAGCCCATTGCAACTCCATCTGTTTGTCTATAGAAACCATCATTAAATTTAAATTGTACATTGAGCGTGCATCGTAGGAGTAGTTCTTTAAGATAGTGTTTTGGGATACATATCTCCAGATTATTATTTTCAATATAGTCACATAAAAAACAAATGGTTTCTGTGAGAGGAACATTTGTAAACAACGACATGACATCTAATGAGAGCATTTTCTTACCCATTACGTTGATATTTCTGATTGAGTCGACAAATTCAAAGGAATCAAGAGCATTATATTTGTTGATATGATTTTTAACAGGTTGTAAAATGTCAACTAACCATTTAGCAATAGAGTGATATGGAGAGTTGTTCATATCAAGTATTGGACGTAAAGGGACATTATTCTTATGAACTTTTGGGAGTCCATATAGTCTAGGTACGACAGAACCCGATGGTTTGAGATGTTCAAAGAGGTCACAATTGATAATGAACTCATCTTTCATCTTCTTTAGAATTTTAATTAGCATCTGTTCGGTTTTCTCAGTTATGTCATTTTGGACGGTTTCTTTAGAGAATTTGACCGGATCAGATAGTATGGAAGACATTTTGGAAATATAGTCAGGGCGATCCATAAGTACAATTCCTGCACCCTTGTCTGGACGACATAAAACTAAGTCATGATTTTTCCAAAGATCAGATAATTGAGATTTATGTGTTTTTGTGAGTAAGCGACTAACTGTAGGGATTTTATTTACATATTGATTACAGCAGTCTACAAGAGTTGTTTTGAAATGCTCAAAATCTTTATTAGATACAGGAATAAGGTCATTTGTTTGACGAATAAGACTTTCAAACTGGATTTTAGCGTTCAATTCATCAATGTTAGTAGACGTACTACAAAATTTTGGACCAAGGGATAATGCTTGTAGCTGAATAGTCGATAATGTTATGCTTGAATAATTGAAAACATATTTCTCTGGCGATTCGGGAAAGGAAGCTTGAATCTCCGTCTGTTTTAAACTTTTCATTGATTTCAAAGTCACATCTTCGGTACGATTTTTGCTAACAATATCAATGTAATCTTTAAATTTGAAGCGTTGATCTTCTGATAAATCAAATAACGTATGTGAACGTAATGAGATATTCCGTTCCAATTCTGGGATTCTAGATTTAATTTCATCGACATAATTCAAAGTAAGACGTTTCAAAGACCGATGATTTGGATGAATATGGTTACGGCGTAATGATTTGAAAAATGGTCTTGGATATTCACGTTTGTCTATACAACTTCTCAGAAAATTGATTCTAGTATTCGCTATTGCAAGCTTGACAGAATAACTAAGAAACCCACTGAGTTCCTTTACTGTCGCATGATCCTTGCAGCTCTTTAGATAACTAAAATAACTCAAAATGTCATTGAATAAGAAAAAGAGAATTCAGCGAAGAAAATTTTCTTTTCGACGAAATCATTTACTTAAGCTGTACATTCGTATATATAGTAATATGGAAAATATATGTCTATAGGAGGCTAAAAAAGATTGCATTACAAAATTGATTCGACAATAAATAACAAATGAGGTGACGTACTAATCAAGGGGTAAGGGAGAAAATAATTTATGGGTCAGATAATAGTTCAATTAACAGATATGAAGAAGAGCGACAAACACAAAGGTCATAATAATAATAATAATCTGAGTAATAATCAAGAAAACTTGTATAAAGTAATAATAATAATAACGGATTAGAGATTAAATGTAAAGTAGTAATTTAAAAAACAAAAAAAAACCCGATAATAATCAGATAAAAGTACAAAAAACCAAAAAAACGTACCCAATGAGGGAATTAGGGCCAAGGAAGGGTAAGTGGTTGGACAAATCGTTTCTGCACGCAAAGTTCAGGCTTCAATTCATGGATTGCCAATGCCTCAGCAGTGCATAAAATATTAATTCGACCTCCCTTTGATCCGGTTCCTTTAACTCTATAGATTATTTTAAAAGACGTCTCTTTTGGAGCAATGTGTCCGCAATTGATCAAGTGCTCTTGTATCGAACTGGTTATCTTCTTACATTCCCCTTTTAGGAGCCAAGCTGGATAGTGTTCAGAGATACGTTTGGAAAGCGATCGCTTTGTGCGGCCTATATAACGTGCTCCACATGAGCAAGTAAATTTATAAATACACATCGATGTGGCCCAAAGCGAAAGCTTATCCTTAACACACCCCCGAATGGTAGGCCGGCTAGAGAAAACGATTCGGAGCTTGGCTGTGTAGAAAGTTTTATTCAACGTTTTTGAAATCCGTTTATTCAGGATTTCAGCAGCCGTGTCTCCCTTGAATTCCATATTCATAAACAAGGTTTTCTTCTGCACCGTCAAAGTTATTTGTTGCTGACGTCTAGATGTTAAGTTGCTATCAACGAACCTCGGTGGATAACCATTTTTGATGAGGGTCTGTCGAAGATGAAGTAATTCTTCATTTATTGTGTCACTAGAACAGATTCGCTTAATCCTAGATGATAAAGAGTGAATTAAGTTCCTCTTTCGACTCAATGGAACCCAACTATGGAAATTCGTGTGTTGTCCATTCCAAGTGGGTTTTCTATACATAGATCTTCGTAAATAACCATCAGGCAATCTTTTCAAATGGACATCAAGAAAATGGAATTCGTGGTTCGATTCTGCCTCTAAGGTAAATTGAATTGAAGGGTGACAGTTATTGAAAATATTTAATATTTCATTGTGGTCCATGTTATCATCACAAATAATGAAGGTATCATCCATATATCTCTTATATAAATGAAATTTCTCGATTATTTGACGAAGTGCTGAATTTTCTAGATTGGCCATGAAACAATCAGCCAAAAGAGGACCCAATGGAGAGCCCATTGCAACTCCATCTGTTTGTCTATAGAAACCATCATTAAATTTAAATTGTACATTGAGCGTGCATCGTAGGAGTAGTTCTTTAAGATAGTGTTTTGGGATACATATCTCCAGATTATTATTTTCAATATAGTCACATAAAAAACAAATGGTTTCTGTGAGAGGAACATTTGTAAACAACGACATGACATCTAATGAGAGCATTTTCTTACCCATTACGTTGATATTTCTGATTGAGTCGACAAATTCAAAGGAATCAAGAGCATTATATTTGTTGATATGATTTTTAACAGGTTGTAAAATGTCAACTAACCATTTAGCAATAGAGTGATATGGAGAGTTGTTCATATCAAGTATTGGACGTAAAGGGACATTATTCTTATGAACTTTTGGGAGTCCATATAGTCTAGGTACGACAGAACCCGATGGTTTGAGATGTTCAAAGAGGTCACAATTGATAATGAACTCATCTTTCATCTTCTTTAGAATTTTAATTAGCATCTGTTCGGTTTTCTCAGTTATGTCATTTTGGACGGTTTCTTTAGAGAATTTGACCGGATCAGATAGTATGGAAGACATTTTGGAAATATAGTCAGGGCGATCCATAAGTACAATTCCTGCACCCTTGTCTGGACGACATAAAACTAAGTCATGATTTTTCCAAAGATCAGATAATTGAGATTTATGTGTTTTTGTGAGTAAGCGACTAACTGTAGGGATTTTATTTACATATTGATTACAGCAGTCTACAAGAGTTGTTTTGAAATGCTCAAAATCTTTATTAGATACAGGAATAAGGTCATTTGTTTGACGAATAAGACTTTCAAACTGGATTTTAGCGTTCAATTCATCAATGTTAGTAGACGTACTACAAAATTTTGGACCAAGGGATAATGCTTGTAGCTGAATAGTCGATAATGTTATGCTTGAATAATTGAAAACATATTTCTCTGGCGATTCGGGAAAGGAAGCTTGAATCTCCGTCTGTTTTAAACTTTTCATTGATTTCAAAGTCACATCTTCGGTACGATTTTTGCTAACAATATCAATGTAATCTTTAAATTTGAAGCGTTGATCTTCTGATAAATCAAATAACGTATGTGAACGTAATGAGATATTCCGTTCCAATTCTGGGATTCTAGATTTAATTTCATCGACATAATTCAAAGTAAGACGTTTCAAAGACCGATGATTTGGATGAATATGGTTACGGCGTAATGATTTGAAAAATGGTCTTGGATATTCACGTTTGTCTATACAACTTCTCAGAAAATTGATTCTAGTATTCGCTATTGCAAGCTTGACAGAATAACTAAGAAACCCACTGAGTTCCTTTACTGTCGCATGATCCTTGCAGCTCTTTAGATAACTAAAATAACTCAAAATGTCATTGAATAAGAAAAAGAGAATTCAGCGAAGAAAATTTTCTTTTCGACGAAATCATTTACTTAAGCTGTACATTCGTATATATAGTAATATGGAAAATATATGTCTATAGGAGGCTAAAAAAGATTGCATTACAAAATTGATTCGACAATAAATAACAAATGAGGTGACGTACTAATCAAGGGGTAAGGGAGAAAATAATTTATGGGTCAGATAATAGTTCAATTAACAGATATGAAGAAGAGCGACAAACACAAAGGTCATAATAATAATAATAATCTGAGTAATAATCAAGAAAACTTGTATAAAGTAATAATAATAATAACGGATTAGAGATTAAATGTAAAGTAGTAATTTAAAAAACAAAAAAAAACCCGATAATAATCAGATAAAAGTACAAAAAACCAAAAAAAACGTACCCAATGAGGGAATTAGGGCCAAGGAAGGGTAAGTGGTTGGACAAATCGTTTCTGCACGCAAAGTTCAGGCTTCAATTCATGGATTGCCAATGCCTCAGCAGTGCATAAAATATTAATTCGACCTCCCTTTGATCCGGTTCCTTTAACTCTATAGATTATTTTAAAAGACGTCTCTTTTGGAGCAATGTGTCCGCAATTGATCAAGTGCTCTTGTATCGAACTGGTTATCTTCTTACATTCCCCTTTTAGGAGCCAAGCTGGATAGTGTTCAGAGATACGTTTGGAAAGCGATCGCTTTGTGCGGCCTATATAACGTGCTCCACATGAGCAAGTAAATTTATAAATACACATCGATGTGGCCCAAAGCGAAAGCTTATCCTTAACACACCCCCGAATGGTAGGCCGGCTAGAGAAAACGATTCGGAGCTTGGCTGTGTAGAAAGTTTTATTCAACGTTTTTGAAATCCGTTTATTCAGGATTTCAGCAGCCGTGTCTCCCTTGAATTCCATATTCATAAACAAGGTTTTCTTCTGCACCGTCAAAGTTATTTGTTGCTGACGTCTAGATGTTAAGTTGCTATCAACGAACCTCGGTGGATAACCATTTTTGATGAGGGTCTGTCGAAGATGAAGTAATTCTTCATTTATTGTGTCACTAGAACAGATTCGCTTAATCCTAGATGATAAAGAGTGAATTAAGTTCCTCTTTCGACTCAATGGAACCCAACTATGGAAATTCGTGTATTGTCCATTCCAAGTGGGTTTTCTATACATAGATCTTCGTAAATAACCATCAGGCAATCTTTTCAAATGGACATCAAGAAAATGGAATTCGTGGTTCGATTCTGCCTCTAAGGTAAATTGAATTGAAGGGTGACAGTTATTGAAAATATTTAATATTTCATTGTGGTCCATGTTATCATCACAAATAATGAAGGTATCATCCATATATCTCTTATATAAATGAAATTTCTCGATTATTTGACGAAGTGCTGAATTTTCTAGATTGGCCATGAAACAATCAGCCAAAAGAGGACCCAATGGAGAGCCCATTGCAACTCCATCTGTTTGTCTATAGAAACCATCATTAAATTTAAATTGTACATTGAGCGTGCATCGTAGGAGTAGTTCTTTAAGATAGTGTTTTGGGATACATATCTCCAGATTATTATTTTCAATATAGTCACATAAAAAACAAATGGTTTCTGTGAGAGGAACATTTGTAAACAACGACATGACATCTAATGAGAGCATTTTCTTACCCATTACGTTGATATTTCTGATTGAGTCGACAAATTCAAAGGAATCAAGAGCATTATATTTGTTGATATGATTTTTAACAGGTTGTAAAATGTCAACTAACCATTTAGCAATAGAGTGATATGGAGAGTTGTTCATATCAAGTATTGGACGTAAAGGGACATTATTCTTATGAACTTTTGGGAGTCCATATAGTCTAGGTACGACAGAACCCGATGGTTTGAGATGTTCAAAGAGGTCACAATTGATAATGAACTCATCTTTCATCTTCTTTAGAATTTTAATTAGCATCTGTTCGGTTTTCTCAGTTATGTCATTTTGGACGGTTTCTTTAGAGAATTTGACCGGATCAGATAGTATGGAAGACATTTTGGAAATATAGTCAGGGCGATCCATAAGTACAATTCCTGCACCCTTGTCTGGACGACATAAAACTAAGTCATGATTTTTCCAAAGATCAGATAATTGAGATTTATGTGTTTTTGTGAGTAAGCGACTAACTGTAGGGATTTTATTTACATATTGATTACAGCAGTCTACAAGAGTTGTTTTGAAATGCTCAAAATCTTTATTAGATACAGGAATAAGGTCATTTGTTTGACGAATAAGACTTTCAAACTGGATTTTAGCGTTCAATTCATCAATGTTAGTAGACGTACTACAAAATTTTGGACCAAGGGATAATGCTTGTAGCTGAATAGTCGATAATGTTATGCTTGAATAATTGAAAACATATTTCTCTGGCGATTCGGGAAAGGAAGCTTGAATCTCCGTCTGTTTTAAACTTTTCATTGATTTCAAAGTCACATCTTCGGTACGATTTTTGCTAACAATATCAATGTAATCTTTAAATTTGAAGCGTTGATCTTCTGATAAATCAAATAACGTATGTGAACGTAATGAGATATTCCGTTCCAATTCTGGGATTCTAGATTTAATTTCATCGACATAATTCAAAGTAAGACGTTTCAAAGACCGATGATTTGGATGAATATGGTTACGGCGTAATGATTTGAAAAATGGTCTTGGATATTCACGTTTGTCTATACAACTTCTCAGAAAATTGATTCTAGTATTCGCTATTGCAAGCTTGACAGAATAACTAAGAAACCCACTGAGTTCCTTTACTGTCGCATGATCCTTGCAGCTCTTTAGATAACTAAAATAACTCAAAATGTCATTGAATAAGAAAAAGAGAATTCAGCGAAGAAAATTTTCTTTTCGACGAAATCATTTACTTAAGCTGTACATTCGTATATATAGTAATATGGAAAATATATGTCTATAGGAGGCTAAAAAAGATTGCATTACAAAATTGATTCGACAATAAATAACAAATGAGGTGACGTACTAATCAAGGGGTAAGGGAGAAAATAATTTATGGGTCAGATAATAGTTCAATTAACAGATATGAAGAAGAGCGACAAACACAAAGGTCATAATAATAATAATAATCTGAGTAATAATCAAGAAAACTTGTATAAAGTAATAATAATAATAACGGATTAGAGATTAAATGTAAAGTAGTAATTTAAAAAACAAAAAAAAACCCGATAATAATCAGATAAAAGTACAAAAAACCAAAAAAACGTACCCAATGAGGGAATTAGGGCCAAGGAAGGGTAAGTGGTTGGACAAATCGTTTCTGCACGCAAAGTTCAGGCTTCAATTCATGGATTGCCAATGCCTCAGCAGTGCATAAAATATTAATTCGACCTCCCTTTGATCCGGTTCCTTTAACTCTATAGATTATTTTAAAAGACGTCTCTTTTGGAGCAATGTGTCCGCAATTGATCAAGTGCTCTTGTATCGAACTGGTTATCTTCTTACATTCCCCTTTTAGGAGCCAAGCTGGATAGTGTTCAGAGATACGTTTGGAAAGCGATCGCTTTGTGCGGCCTATATAACGTGCTCCACATGAGCAAGTAAATTTATAAATACACATCGATGTGGCCCAAAGCGAAAGCTTATCCTTAACACACCCCCGAATGGTAGGCCGGCTAGAGAAAACGATTCGGAGCTTGGCTGTGTAGAAAGTTTTATTCAACGTTTTTGAAATCCGTTTATTCAGGATTTCAGCAGCCGTGTCTCCCTTGAATTCCATATTCATAAACAAGGTTTTCTTCTGCACCGTCAAAGTTATTTGTTGCTGACGTCTAGATGTTAAGTTGCTATCAACGAACCTCGGTGGATAACCATTTTTGATGAGGGTCTGTCGAAGATGAAGTAATTCTTCATTTATTGTGTCACTAGAACAGATTCGCTTAATCCTAGATGATAAAGAGTGAATTAAGTTCCTCTTTCGACTACAGCTTAAGTAAATGATTTCGTCGAAAAGGAAATTTTCTTCGCTGAATTCTCCTTTTGCTTTTATTGCGTTTTCCAATCATTTGAGGTCGTTTAAAAAAATAAGTAGACACAATAATACCCCGAGATTTTCTACCGAAAAAGTTGAAAACTGTGAATAGTTAGGACCAAAGTACTAACAGACACAATAGAAAAACAAAGTACTTTAAAGTACCGACTATAAACTACTTTAGAAACCGAAAATGGTACTGTAATCGAATACTTTAACTGAAAGAAATTTCATCAAAGTATTAACAGTAGTCTTGATACGTTATTAACGATCAAAACAATAGAATTTACTCAGCGAGGAAAAATACCACTGTCCCTTTTGAATAGCGCGCCGAGATGCTACAGATGTTCAGAGATCGACAACGCTTTTGTTCGTAATACCTTTATAATTAAAGGATACTAATTCAGTCATATCATATTTCACAGATGAATAAGTTCAAAGATACATTTGGGAGGCTGCCGATACGCTGGGAAGCGTTTGATCTAGGCTGGGAAGCAGTCGCAATAGATACTTAGCACGGAGAGCTCACTCGTGATCTGGTGCGGATACGTTACTGACCTCTTTCAGCTAGGGTGTATCCAGTGTAACTAATTAGATCAGCACCAAATATTGAAGAATTACAGAACTATTTTTTTTGAAAATTTGTTTCCTGCCACATTGGTGTGCAGTGTATATGGTAATTTACTGCAATCGGACATGGATATGCGCCAAAGTGCCTGCCTAGATTGAACTCCAACACAAAATGTAAAGGCACAACTGAGTTAACTGAAATGTAGACACATTTTCCATTCGCTACAAATAGCCAAATGCTGGAGTTTGCTACCGGCTGAGGTGGTCCAAGCAACTTAAGGGTTTTTCACAAGGAAACTTGACATACTTTTAAGGACTCATGATAGTGTTTTACTCAATCTATCCATATTTCTCTTTTGTTCGTCAAATATATCTAGAGCTTTTCCATCCGTATCGATAGTCCATTACTGTTAGACATCAAAGCTCGACAATGAAAAGCCAGTTCTGCTACTTCCACAACCGTTGGAACCATTTGAAAGGTCATTTATTAAGTTTTTCAGAGGTAATTCGAAACGTCACTTTACGATCAATCATCGAAGGCCGGTGTCTGCGACAATTGATAATTGTATATGATTGTGTAAGTTGTTAGATAACTTCTACGCTACTGAATCTCATTTTCACTCGGCTCTACAGTTACTTAGTTATTACTCATATTCTGGTGGAAGTTATCAACGGGTCTGAATAACCGGTAGCTATACTACATGGCTTCAAATGGGTGGGCTCTCTTGAGACATTGGCGAGACTAAAGAACATGGACGACCTTTGAACGAATCTTAAATGACCTTGAGAAATATTAGCCAATCAGAAGAAGCATACAGTGAAAATATATTATATAAAACTCAAAAATTAAAGGGGATACTGTTCTTTTACATGAATCAAAAACTTATCAAGGTTAGATATAGGTTCAGAAGTTCTAAAATCATAGTGCATCCGGCACAGGAACTCATCCCTGTGGCTCCATAGTAGCCGACCTCTGAAACCATGATAAAGTCCCGAAAATTCTTTCAGCCCCGACCACATAGTTTCAGTGTTGTCGGTATGGTTCAGGGTTTAAGATTAGGGTTAAAGATGAGACTATGAATTATGGACGACATTTGAGCGACGCTAGAGTGAATCTGAGAGTGTAAACGTAATAACTAAGACTAAATGAGGGTTATAAACCCGTGTGAAGAATTCAAATTATGATTTACAGTTCATGGTTAAGGTTAGGAATTATACTTAGGGTTTTCATCACGAACTGACATCAACTATAACGCCACAACTCTATCCAAATGTATAATTGAGTTTTGCGCCAAAATCTTATGATAACTTATCTTGTAGACGCTTATTTATCATGTTTTCTCTAAAATCCGTTGTAAACCGACCGTATGTAAGCATCAGGTACCGAACTTAGCGCCGTGACCTTGAAAACCCGCGAAAGCTCTGATTGGCTCGTCCATGTTCTTTTGTCTCGCCGCAAGTGAATTATTCATAAGTTTGGTAATCTTTCATGAGAGGAAACTCTAGGATTAGCTTCTGTTTATGTTCAGGGTTCTATGCTGCCTGTACTATTCCTAATTGATAGTTGACTCTGAGTCAGTGCTTCTTTATTACTGTTTGCTGTCTACCGTTTTAGTAAATCCACTGAATCCTATAAAATGAACGCACGTGCTTTGATTAGATTTACAATCCCATTATTCTCTGTTCTCTTACCACGCTATTGTCTCTCTGGTTGATGCACACAAACTTACCAGCGAAGCAGTTTAATGTTAGCACACCTTCAAGCCAAACCCAAATCTACCAACGACCAAATATTACACGACTTCCTAGCTCTTTGTGGTAAAGTTTCAATCTTCACAAAAAGTAGAAAATATAACAAGTCCAAATTTAGGGGGTGGTTAACTGTATTAAGTGATCTGTACAGTTCAGTTACTCAGTACCCGAAATTTGAAAATTAGTTGGTTTTAGAATAGGGGATGAGGTGCTTACTAGGTCTGTGCATCTGTTAGATTGTGGGAATTACTTATTTTTGTTGGTGCTGCTGGTAACATTTCACCCGCGATTTTCGCTCGTTGAGTCAAAATATTGAGGGAATAACCGTTTCATAAGTAAGCCAGGCTACTGAAAGACTCGTAATGCAATATCCACAGGCTTCTTAAAGCCGGTTGCCATTTGTCATTCTACGTTCGTCGCGTTCTAAACATCCCTTTTGTATTTTAAGATTTCCTCAGCACTCTAATTCGTGCACTCCAACTATCGGTTTTAGCTGTTGTAATAACTCAAAAAGGCTGATTCCCTATTGATGTTAAACATCGTTTCACAAGAATCGATGATCTCAATTAAGCATAATATCGATAAATAATAAATGCGTTTAGTAAATTTTTGTATCATAATTCATATGAAGCCCTTCGAAATTCATGTTTTATATTTATTCATGAACGTTTTTGGTTATCATGATTAGATTTCAAGTGAACATTTACTTTTAGCTGTTTCAAAGTTTTAGAAAATGGAGACTGAGCGTTCAAACCTCTTGTCTATCGTCAAACTTGTTGTACGCGATCTAATTCAGCTTACATTCGATCAACAGCAGGTTTTTCTTGATGAAAACATCTTCTGGGGTGAATCTAGAACTGTTCATGGTGAAGATGTTTCAAATATTGTCTGGCGGTTGCTTTCTGTTGTTGAACACTGTCTCTGTCATGGTTTACGTCGAGAATACACAACGCCTGATTCTTTTAATGACGTCAATCAAAGAACTTCATCAAAAGAATTAATGAGGAGTGCGACAACTGTCATCCGAAGAGCATGTGACCATGCCGTTTCCACTGCAAATATTTTTATGAAAAACTCGTCACATCCAAATCCTTGGCCCGTTTTATTAGAAGCAGAAAAATTGTCAAAGACCACAGATTCTATAAGTAAAACTATCGCCACAATGACTGAAATACGAACTGGACTAGGTCGCTCTCGCGTTTGGTTAAGGCAGGCTTTAATGAGGAAGGTAGTTCCTGCGTTTTTTGGTGTTTTAAATGTAATTTGTCAAATCGGATTTGCTTTATCCGAATTTATTTTATACAATAATCTTATTCTAAAAGAGTAAACAGCCAATCAGTCAGCTACAACGTAGGACCAGGCACACGCATCGGTCCAAGTTGCCATACCTCGTTCGCACAAGATGAACACCGAATTCATAGTAGTTAATTTAGTGGTCGTAATTTATAAAAGATAGGTTGTATATAAGGATATAGTACAGGAAGAAAAAAAGATATGAAGCAGTTTTAATCTCAAGGTTTAAGGGAAGATAAAGATTGTATACACCTACGTAATTGTGATCGATTCTGAGCCATGTCATCTAGAGTCTCCAACCATTGGTTACGATGGTTGCGCGGACCCCAACCAAGTGGTCTGCATCTACCAACATGGTTCAGACTAGAAGTTAATGACTTCAAGCTCTGATGCCACGTTTTGGTTTGGCCGCCCCTAACTTTCTTCCAACCATCTCCATTACTAGTCAGCATAGCGCGTCGTGGTAATCAGTGTTCAGACATACGTAACACGTGTCCAAACCATCTCAGTCGATGAAGATTCGTGACCTCATCAACTGATTTACCATCGTTTCCTAATACCCTGTGTCTAACCTCACTATTACTTACCCGATGACCCCAGCAGATGCGAGCAATATTTCTAAGGCATTTGTTGGCAAAAACTAGTAACTTACGAGTATCTTCTACTCTCAATGGCCATGTTTCACAGTCGTAAAGTAAAACAAAACGGACTGCTGCGCAGTATCCTCGTTCCGTAGTTGATAGACAGATTTCATGACCAATCGAACTTTGTAAAATTACCTAACAGAAGCGCTAAGAATGGAGGATTTCACAAGTCTTCATAAGCGGTAAGCAAACTTATTGACTGATATGTCGTAACTATTATTTTACAGTAATAAACGATGAATATAAAAAAAGATCAGCTGCAGGTGAAACATAACGTAATGTCTAAAGTTTTCTACACATGAAAACTCGAATATGAGAAAAAATAACCCGAGCGACTTTCTTGCCAACCGTTGCTGCTACCTTGACGTGGTGGTCGGGCTTGCCTATCGTGATGAACCAATCGAGCTATACTGGCTGGAACAACCGTTCCTCATGGCCCCCCGACCCTACCTGAAGTTCAAAAGGCTACAACTAATCTGAAACGAGGAAGAGCAACTGGTTCAGATGGATATGGTGGTCCAATTTTAGCAATTAGGTTGACTAATATTTTGGCTAATTTATTATTTATTTATTTAATCACATATATATATAATCACATATATATATACAAAGGGCACCGGATACATATGCGCCACACAAAATAAAGAGAATGGGAGAAAGGAGATGCGTATGTATAAAAGAAGGAAAAAAAAGGAGAAGAGTAATGATGGGGGGAACTGAATGTACAACCAGAAGAGCTCTCTCAGTTAGGAAAGTTATAGCCACTCTTTATGCAGAAAGTAGAAGAAGGTTACAGCAGGATCGCCACTGGCTTCTATTCTGAGCCATATCTGATAACGTCTCTAGCCACTGTGTTGCACCATCTCTCGGACCCCAGCCAGGGAGTCGTGAAGGACCAACAAAGGCTAGCTCTTTGCAGCTCTCTTTCATGCCACGACACCATGTCATACACTGACCTCCTCTCCGCTTTCTCCAACCAGTCCCAGAGTCGGTAAATAATGCACGACGTGGAAGCCTCTGGGACGACATTCGTAAAACATGTCCAAGCCACCGAAGTCGGTGTTTCAAGATGGTGGCACCAATTGGATTGTTGTCTCTGTGCCCAAACACACGATGCCGAACCTCTGCATTACTAACATTATGCTGCCACTGGGTGTGAGCAATCCTTCGGAGACAACGACGATCGAATACAGAGAGTCGTCTAACATCCTCAACTCGGAGAGATCAGGTTTCACAAGCATAGAGCGAATCTGCTCTCACCGACGCGTTGTGGATTCGACCTTTTACAGCCAGATTAACATCACGAAGGCGCTAAAGATGGCCCAAATTGGCATAAGCCGCTCTGGCTTTCATCACTCAAGGCACCACCAGCACTTATGTAGCTACCTAGATACACGAACTTCTCGACTACTTCAATCTGATCACCATCTAGGGTGAGTACGGGATTAGAATCCTGCCAGTTTTGTAGGAGTACTTTGCACTTGGAGGGTGCAAAGCACAAACCGTACCTGCGGACACTGATTGCCAAGTGATTAAGTGCGGATTGCATGCCTTGGGCGTTATCGCACAGTAAGACAATATCATCCGCATACTCGAGGTCGAGAAGTCGTTCTCCAGGCAACATATCCACACCGCCATTACTTACATCCATCAGAGCTGTTTACAGGATGTCGTCGATGGCAAAGTTGAAGAGGAATGGTGAGATTGGGCAACCCTGCCTAACCCCACTGCTCGAATGGAACAAGGGAGAAAGGTGGTTGTATGCCCTCACTCTGCCTGAGGTGTTCGTATACAGGGCCTTTAAGATGTTAATGAACTTCTCAGGCACACCCTTCTTCAATAGACAATCCCAGAGAACAGTCCTGTCCAACGAATTGAAGGCCGCTCTGATATCAAGAAACACTACGATTGTTGGCCTGCGATAAGTATGACGGTGTTCTAACATTTGGCGGAGGGTGAAGATGTGATCAATGCATCCTCGACCAGAACGAAAACCAGCCTGCTTCTCGCGAGTCAATTGTTCTCGGGTTTTAAACAACCTACGAAGAATGATAGAAGTCAGTAGTTTGGACGCAATTGGAAGAAGACTTATCCCCCGATAGTTATCACAGGAACAACGTGAACCCTTTTTAAAGATAGGGACGACTATTGACTCATTCCATGATGTTGGAACACTTTCTTCCTCCCAAACCTCTGCAAACAACGCAGTCAGTTCCTTATCCAGAAAGTCACCACCATCTTTAAAAAGAGCCGGAGGTAAGTCATCTGGGCCCGGTGATTTGTAGCGCTTCAAGAGTTGGAGTTCCTTGCGGACTTCCGCCTCGTTTGGTGGATCAGTCGTCACCGGCCATGGGGGGCAGGACAAACTGGTGGATGTTGCCGGAGCAGCAGGCCAATTGAACTGCCGTTCGAAAAATTTAGCCCATCGTCCAAGACGTAGAGAGATATTAGTGATTGGCATCCCGTCATCCTCGTAGATTTTCCACTCACACCAGACTTCTTGCTACCAGTGGCTCGGATGAGTTGGAAGAGCTTCCGGCAGTTACCAGATGCAGCTGCTGCTTCCATCTCATTAGCACGCTCCGACCACCAGGCTTCTCGGTCCTTACGCAAGCTTTGCCCAATTTCATTACGTAACAGCCTTCGTTTGTGGTCAAACTCACGGTCCCCCGGAGTAGACCGACGGGCTTCGATCAGTTGTAAGGAGCCGGAAGAAACCCAGTGCTTGTATGCGGGACGTTTCGCGAAGCCGCAAGTGGCTTTACTCGCCATTTTCATGGCGTCGTGAAGAAGCAACCAATGCTCATCAATACTTTTCGGTGGGATGGTAGCTAGCCTAGAAGCTAGCTCCGCTCGATACTTACATGCAACAGAAGTTGCAGCCAGTTTACTAACATCGATCCGTTGGTGGTGGTCAAATCTTCGGCCACTGAAAAGTAAGGTGAGATTGGCGCAGACCAGGGCATGATCAGACTCCAGATAGGTACTCCAAAAGGAGCGGCAGTCTTGTACACAACCACGCCAGCGGCAGCTGATCGCGATGTGATCAATCTGAGTCCAGGCTTGGGATGCAGAGGGAGGACGCCAGGAGGCACACCGGCGATGACTGTGCCGGAAGTTAGTGCTGGCCAGAAACAGGTTGTGGTCTGTGCACTGTTGCAGCAAACGGTCCCCGTTATCTGTCCTGCGACCAACAAGTCCCCATCGGCCACCTAAACGACTCTCTTCTGTGCCTAGACGCCCGACCTGAGCATTCAAGTCTCCGGCTAGTACTACAATATCTGTCGAACGCGCTTTCTGGAGAAGAACTGTTAACTGATGGTAAAACCCATCCTTGATTGCATCCGGGCTGCAATCTGTCGGAGCATAGGTGGAGATGACGAAAAGACACCGATTCTCACGCCGGTTTCTTCTGACTTTGATGGAACTTTCTAATCTAACAACACATAACCGACTGTTAATGGGGATGCAATCGATTAGTGCTGCCTCAGCTTTAGCGCTTAGTGCGACACCAACGCCAGCAAGACCAGACGAAGATGCCACAGGGTCCCCGGATAAGCGCACGTGAAGCAAGCTTTTCGAAGCGACAGATGGAGAGCGGATTTGTAGTACTTCACTAGAGTCTTGAATACGGGTCTCGGATAGACAGCAAACATCAACATTAAGACTTTCTAAAGACATAGCCAGCCCCATCTGTTGTCCGATCTGCATTAGTGTGCGAACGTTGAAGGAAGCCAGCTTGAAGGGCGTACGTGGTTTCAGAAAGACTGCTTCAGTATTCGTTATCGGTGGAAGCATTCACTTTCAACCAGACAGTGACTGGAGATCGTTTAGATAGGACAGAGTTTCCACCAAGAGCGAGCTGCTGCATAAGATGAAAAGTAAGGTTACACAAATTGGGGATAAAAGGGGGTGAATTAGCGATATGGTAAATAATAATAATAATAACAATAGTAATAATAATGCAAATTGAATTTTTTCTTGCATGAACGAGAATATAATTGTCTGCTGAATGTTCCATTTCATTTATTTTGGCTAAAATCTGGGAGTTAGAAGTAATCCCATCTGACTGTTCACAATCACTTATTGTGCCAATATATAAGAAGGGGCCAAAATCATCCTGTGATAACCATAGAGGGATTATTTTGACTAACATAGCATCTGAAATACTAACCTCCATAATTATGGGGCGCCTAACTAAGACTCGTGAACTGCGAACACGAAGAAATCAGGCTGGCTTCAGACGTGGTCGTGGCTGCATCGACCACATATTCACCATTCGTCAAACTGTAGAACACAGGCATGCTTATTGGCGTCCGACAATGATAGTTTTTCTTGACTTAAAAGCAACATTTGACTCTGTAGACCGAGAGGTTCTGTGGCAGTGTCTGTCATTGAAAGATGTACCTCATAAGTACATAAACCTTGTGAGGGCTCTTTACTCGAACACTACAAGTCAAGTGAGTGCTTATGGTGAACTGTCATCTGCTTTTACAACCTCAAATGGTGTCCGACAAGGCTGTCCACTATCACCATTCTTATTTATTTTCATTATAGATTTATTGCTGGAAATTACATTCTCGACTGAATTTTCAGGAATTGACCTCGTACCAGGAGGTCCGCTAATCGACTTAGAATACACAGATGACATAGTCCTGTTTGGTAAAGACGCTGACAAAATGTAGAGTCTTCTGTTAGAACTGAGTAATAATGCCAGGATGTTTGGGATGCGCTTCTCCCCATCTAAATGTAAATTGTTACTCCAGGACTGGCCTGCGTCAATACGTATGCGTATGTTTACTGATATTTATTCCTTTAAAACAAAATGGCGAAAATGAACTCGATGATAAATACATATCACAGAAATAAGGAACTGATCTTTTCTTAAAGTAAAGGAAGGAACGAGAGTAAAGTTATTAACAAATTAAAGAATAATAATAAGTAAAGAATAGTATGTAATGGGAGATGCAGTTCAGTTGGATAACAGCCCGAAATGATTTTCTCAGTCAAGAGAGTTCCTTTCATTTTTATTGGACAATGTAATAGAAAACGATAGCAGGATCTCCAGTGGCTCCTATTATGAGCTGTTTCTGATAACGTCAGAAGTTGTCGAGTTGTACTGTTTCTGAGAGCCCAACTAGAGGTAGTCGTGATGGACCACCAGGTGATACTCCAATGTAGCTTTCTTTCGTTTGACAGTTCCATGTCATAAACTGACTACCTTTCCACTTTTTCCAACCAATCCCAACGTCAGAAAACAGATCAGGATGTGGAGGTTGTTGTGATTACGTTTGAGCCACCGTAGCCGGTGTCTCTAAGCAGTGACATCCCTGCTTCAATTCAGGCACGCGGGCAGTATCACAGCTATCACACAAATCAATGATATTTTTGTAGCGCATATGTATTTGGTGCCCTCTTGTACCAATGTTTATGTGTTCAAATAAATAAAAAAAACGGTGACACCAAGTCAGTTGTCGTCACTGTGCCCGAACACACACTGCCGAACTTCCTCACTACTAACATGGTGTTGCCACTAAATGTTAGCTGTCTTTCACAGACAATGAAAGGCGATTTATTTTGGCTCATTTAATTGTTTTCTTGGTCTGATTCTCTCTTCACTTCTCTCCAAGAATTCGCGGCTTTGTTTTTATAGTGTATTATTATTTTGATACCAATTTTTCTCAGTATTTATTTGTTTAGATAAGTAAGCGAGTGTTGTATGGATAGTGTGAGCGAACATGAACATCTTTTTCGTTAGTAATCATCATCATGATTTCTTCTGGTCCGGGATATTACCTGGGTAACCAAGGTTAAGCAGATAGTCGTCTTAGGGTGACACTCGTCGAAATTTTAAGTTATAATTTACAAGTCAATAAGGGAATATAGTGGGGTGCAGTCCAATGGTAGCCATTTCAATGCAAATTTCCTCTTTTAGAATCCTAGACCAATATATGCCATTGGTTTAGAATTAGGGTTTTCCGGCTGACGTAGGTGTATCCTACGTATTTGCCAACCCGATTTAAGCGCTGAACATAGCAGTGTTGTGTTTAAAATGTGAATGTCTATGTTATTTTAGAGTTCCCATTTATTCAGTTGAATATTTAATCATAATAGGAACATTTTACCAGTTTGGTTCATGAGAAATTACGTTCTTATTAAACAGTTGGATTTATTTAAAATGTGTTTACGATCCAAATTATATTTGAACGTAAATTCTTATATAGCTGATTCCCAAATCAGCTATATAAGAATTTATATTCCCAAATTATATTGCTCAAAATAAAAAAAACAGTAATTTTGTTTGCCCGGTTTTTTATTGATGCTCTGTTCTGTCAAGCTTCAGAGATACAAGCCTATTAGCAGTGATATATTCCCATGACTTCATTCGTTCCTTTCGAAGTATATTTCGTATATATTTATTTTACCATTACCATTGATACTATTATTTCCCGTTTCTAGCCTGAAGCGGTAGCAGCTTGAATCAATTTACATTCATACCATATACTACTCTGGTTATGACTCATTGCCGAAAAAAAGATACTATTTTCACTAGTTAGTTTGTAAGATAAACCCTAAATTTCTAAATACGGTTGTCAATACGAAATGGCATCTAGTGCTTTTGTAGTTTCATCGTTCAGCTTGTTTTTGTACCCGATACTCAAGACCTCAGTATTGCCTTTGAAAAATCGTTTTTTCGGTGTATTCAGAGAATAGTTTAACCAGATGTGTTACAGGGTTCCTGACTAATTTCGCAAAAGTTTATTTAGTTTTCCTTATTGGCAATCAATTTATATTGCCACAGGCTAGTATGTATGGTGAGGTAAGTGAAATATTAGACGCTTAAGTCCTCGATATCCTAATATTTTGACAGTGAAAAAGACCTCATAACTACAGACACATATCCGAGTCCTCATTGACTACTCTTCACATCTTCGTTGTCAATCTGTAGATATTGCGGTAGTGAATTTTCCAGCTGGTAAATCCTCGATTTATCCTTTACAAAACATAGGTTGCTTTTCATGTGGCTATTTAGTAATTTTGTTGGGATTTCATTTTTATTTTTTACAGCAACTAGGAGAGTTTTTCCAAGTTATAATAGATTCTATCAATTCTTCCAATTCAAATGGGAGTTTGGAAGGTTCTCCAAAAATCTGTGAAACCGACACAATAATTCCTGAAACAAAAAATCTCAGTACATTTACCACATTTTACCACTCCGGCGCTTTGCTTCTAAACAACGAAGGAGTTGTTGTAACCGGTTTGTTAGCAACTTTGAATTCTATAGACTTCTGCTTCATACTGAAAGATAATCTGTCTTACATGGATAAACCGGTTTGTCTTTTAATGTTTAAAAAGTTTTTTTTAAATATCCATTCTATATATAAATTTAGAAGTAATAGCGGATATAGGAAAATTAAGATTTTAGTCCTCATTATTCATGTGATTTTTCACTTTTCTAAAGGGTTCGTGTCCAGTTACTTGAGTCATCGGTATAAATGTGTTGAACTACACATTGTCAACATGTGTTGAACTACCTGTTGAATGGTTTTGAGTTTTTCTTGGTGTTCAGACTATCTTGTGCTTTGATTGTTCTGTTCAACAGTTTCTCACTTCTTTCCAAAAGGTTTTTATAAGTTTGAACTGCTCTGCATTAGCTAGTTATCTGTACTTAATTGGTTGGTTGGATTAAGAATTTTATTTGATTTACTTCTATAAAGCCACGAGCAAAGGAGCGTGCAACTCCATTTGATAGTTTAATGGGATCATCGCTCTACTTAGAAAATGAAAAATAAGTTAATTTGTTAACGAATCATTTTGAAAACATCTGAGTCGGAAGACGGCAAAAGAAGAAGGCCGCAGCAATCCATTTTTCCGAACTGTTCTGTAGATCTCGCCAAAATGAACAATACAGTTGAAGAGTGCCACAGGAACTGTGGATAAATTACCGATGCCTCTCATCCTAGCATATGGAAATCCATCGATGTTACAAAAAACTAATAGCCTAACGTATTGGAAATAAAACAGCCCGTAAAAAATAAAGTACAAGTGAGTAGGATCATGCATTAAACTGTCTGTAGGGGATTATGAAAACAGACCGATACCGGACTGTTTACAGGGAGTAGCACACAATTTGAATTTGTACATCCACAACTTACTTAAACCTAATACTCCCGATGGAGCATAGGCCGCCGACCAGCATTCTCCGACCCCCTCTATCCTGGGCCTTTTCTTTCTAGTTCTGTCCAACTTTTGTTCATTCTTCTCATGTCTGTCCTCATTTCTCGGCGTAATGTGTTCTTTTATCTTCCTCTTTTCCTTTGGCCTTCAGGATTCCATGTGAGGGCTTGCCTTGTGACGCAGTTGGGTGCTTCCCTTAATGTGTGTCCTATTCACTTCCAGTGCTTCTTCCTGATTTCTTCCTCCACTAAAATCTGGTTTGTTCTCTCTCACAGTAGGTTGTTGCTGATAATGTCTGGCCAACAGATCCGAAGTATTTTGCGTAAACAACTGTTAATAAATACTTGTATCTTCTGGATGATGGCTTTCGTAGTTCTCAAGGTAGAGTAGAACTGTCTTGACATTTGCATTGAAAATTCTGATCTTGGTGTTGGTTGACAATTGTTTTGAGTTCCAAATGTTCTTAAATTGTGGATATGCTGTTCTTGTTTTGTCGATCCGCGTCTTCACATCTGCATCAGATCCACCGTGTTCATAAATGATGCTGCCCATATATATAGAGGTTTTCACATCTACAATACATTAATAAATCGCTATTTTAATACTCGCTCGCGTGTGAACCACTCTTATTAATCCTGTCCTCTATTGATGCGAGCTTTCTCTGACAGTGCCATTTTGTGGGTGTCTTTATTGAACGATGCCCTTTTTCTTGAAAGTCAGTAAATATCCATTGATTTTTATTTTCAGTTACACGTAATACCGTACCACGTATATTTACAGGCTAACTTGAATAGACTTGAAAAGTTATATTCAGTGGTAAAGTAAGTTTCTGGATGAAGTTTGGCTGTAAGTGTTTGTTTTGACATGTTCAGGGGTATTTTATGTATGTATAATTAGTTATCAGTAAGGCGTCGTTCTTGTTGTTTGTTAAGACAGTCAACTTTGACATGCATGAGGATAGTGTGACATGTCTGTGAAACAAATGTCAGATGGAGAGTAGCAGTAGGATTTGTTGTTTAGGGAAGATATATCTGTTCTACGAATCCATTGGATTAATACACGTGATACCTGAGGTGTTAATATTTTACTAAAAGATATTCTCTTATCGTCTGAATTGCTCACCCTTCAAGGTGAATTAGGCGTCATTCATGAGATCTCATGGCCAACTTGGTGCATTTCGGGGTCAATTTTTTAATTGCGATACAGATACAGTAGTCTTGATAATTAAGAAAGTGTGAATGCATGGTTCCTCTGAAAAGTTATTGTTCTTATATTGAACATACGGAAATTTTATTGGTCGGTTTGTGATTACAAATCACAACTTTTAAGTTAAGTAGATGAGATGTGGCTAGCAGTGGAATGCAGGACCCACTTTTCTTATTTATGACTCATCAGCTGGATGTATTTGTCAAATTTGATCTATTCTATATTAACTTGTGTCATAATGACTGTATCGAGGCAAGTCACACGGGATACACGTACGCCAAAAAGAGACTGAACAAATTCCAGTTAAAACACGAACAACATGGTAATCCAAACCATTTTAAGTTCAGTTATAACTTTCAAGTTGTTTTTTAGTGAAACAGATAAAACATCTTTGCCAGTAAAAAGATGGTTAGTAACAGGATGTTTTAGGTACGATTTCTAAGTGTATTAATTTCGTATACCTACATAATTTGTAAGTTTTCAGTTGGTAAAAGCACTGACCATATTTACAAATAAGTATTTTGATCAAAATTGTGTAGCGCAGTTTTGTTTATCTAGTTAGTGGACTACGTAATTATGCTTCGGAATCTAATTTTAGACTGTCTGAAATCAGAAACTGAGTTTTGTATACAGAGGTAACCATCAAAGTTGAAAAAATATCTGGATCGCAGCAGGAATTAGATAAGCGACATCTAGGTAATCCATCCTCCGTTATATCAATCGAGTTACAAGATTTACCTACTAATCATGTCTCAGTTCCACAGAATATTTTGGTAAAACATTTGATATTTTCATTACCATTTTAGTAAGTGTTGTTCTGTGTGCATTTAAAACTGTACGCCATGATCTCAAATGTACAGATGAGATCTAAATCATCCAATTATATCCTCAATCATACACAATACATAGACTTTTCGTGCTATCATTCATTAATATGTAAAATTCTGACACTTTCAGTGGAAGTGTGGTGTGGTCTACTTATATCCTTATATGTAGTATATGGTGATGGTTAGACATAGAATGTATTTGGGCAGAAGACTGATAAGGAAAGGACTGAAATGAAGCGCAATTGGTAGGAAAATGCATAAACAATGAAATTAGAGAAGATGAATTGATATTTACAGAAGGAGCAGTGAAGATTGGGAAAATTGATTGTTATTTTGCAAATTAACTGCTTGCTGTATGTTTATCAGATCTTAGCAAGGTAGTTTATAATTTGTGCTTAAATACATTCGATTGTCCTCACTCATGTTCTTGTTCACTACAGAAGTATTCACTACATTACACAAATATGTGAAAAGCATAAAATAGTTTGGTGGTTAATATTTAGGTAACCAATATTAAATTTGGATTACTTATAGTTAGTTACCCTCCAACCAGTAAATTGAAATGACGATAGAGGGAGTAAGTGTTTTAAAGTGGAATGGATTACTTCATTGTAAACGACTAACTGTAACTATGGTGTTTTGGACAGTTTGTAGAGTCAAACCGTCTAATTATCCCACAGTTCCCATCTAGATTTGTAATTTACCGATAACTACAAGATTAAGAAAACGACCCCCTATTGCACTGAATTGCTTTAAAAACAAAATAATCTGCTTATTTCTATCGATCGTTTTTGATCTATCTGTTTCCAGAATATTTTAACTATAATCACACAAAATATACATATTTAATTTGTTTTGAAGAAGTAAACTCTAATTTTATTATTCTCTCTGTAATGACCAGTCAATGGTGAGAACGTTAGTTGTCACCTTAATTTTCAAACTACCTCAGAAAGTGTTCATAAGATGGTAAAATTAAATTGTGAATCCTTTTACAATCTAGAAGTAGACTGTATCAGTGAGTTTTCTAATTTGTATTTGCTAAAGTATATATACATGTGGAAATGTTGTGTTGGAAAACTCATTATGTGTATCAGAAATATACATATATAGGTTTCAAAATGTCAGTGTACATATAAACAAAAATATTCTAGGGTTGAAAATAGACCAATCAGTCTGCTCCAACATAACGTTGTTTGAAACAAGCTCCGAATAGGTTACTGTCTTACTAACAAGTCTTTTACATTGAGCATTCTCTAACTCAGCCCTTAATATTTATTACCATTATCCTTAATATCTTCAATTGACTTCTGCACCGATTACATAATTACTTCATCGAATCAGATACGTAACTATTCCATTGATTTTTAATGGACTATAACACCAAGTAAGAATTAGGTGTTGACTATTTGTAAAACCGTTGTGATACATTCCTGTAGATGTATTATTTATTACTCGAGCGATAAATACTGAGAAAGAATTTTTTTATTTTAGTTTATGTCGTCCAACAGATTTATCGTCTTCAATCGACCAGAAGAATTTTTTAGAAGATTTATGCAACGTACTGAAGTAAGTGTATTTTATTTCGTAATAACATTTAATGCTTTCATTGTTTGTGAATTTACAAACGTGATTCATTGATCCAGGCACCTAAGTGTTCATCACTGGTTGTTTGTCAATATAAACTTTTACAGTTTGTGTATATCACTTTGAGGGTCCTTACAAATTGGTCCATTCAAAGAACTGAATTTATTCATAAAGGCCTTCTTCATTCGTATGTTTGGTTTTACAAACTAACTTTTACCGGTCTCTGCTGATTTCAGTGTGTGGGGTGAATTCCTTTGGAAATTTGGAATAATTGCAATTGTAATGAATTTTTAATCAGTTCTGAAAGGGTTTCATTCTGATTGTTATCTAAGACTGTACTAAAAATTTCTTTTTCAAACATGGTCCTTTATATTGTTTATTTTGCTTATATTCCTTGTTTGAGATATTTCCTGTCACGTATGAAAACGTATGCTGAATTTTTATTAGTTGATCTTGCGCAACCATTCATCGATTGTCTAAGGTATATACCTGTCTCATGTGCTCACTAGTGACTGGCTTCAAGATGGATTTCCTGGATTTCTAGTGAGAAGCAGTGATCAGAGGAGTCCAGTCCGTGTCGAGTAGAAACAGGCATCTACCCGTGACAATGGATGAATGGTCGCGCAAGATCATGGATCTATTGAAGTTAAAAATAATACTGTTGGATTCCCGCTCAATGGTCTAGAGGTTAGGCGTTCGCACGCGAGACCGAAGGTCGTGAGCTCGAGTCCTGCATGCGGGATCGTGGGAGCGTACTGCTGATATGTCCCAGATTGGGATGAAGTGGCCGTCCAGTGCCTTCAAGTTTTCAATGGTAGTTTAGCTTACATCAACTCTTGAATTCAGTTAATAAAAATCACTACGATCTCCACAAACCCCCATTCTAACAATAGTATGTTGAATTGTTTTACGGGTCATATGAATCTCTCATCAGTCACACACCATTTCAATATTTATTTCTTGCTATCGTTTTGTAACGTTCAAGAGAAATTTGATTACAGTGAATCCAGTTTAGTCAATGTAAGGAATATTTTCAAACGATAAATCCCTCTAAGACACAAATAAAAATATATATGTCATTATAGAAATTTAGTTATATAAAGTTATGTACCTTTTTGTTAGCATATGTGTCTAGCCGAATGATTATTAACAAAATTAATAACAAATGAAGTGATCATATCATCGAGCTATTTGGGATGAATGTATTATGTATGATGAATTTTCCACTATGTGTGTAATAAAATTATAACTCATTATTTGTGTAGCGATACATCCAAGTACTCGGAAAAAATTGATCACTATTTTTTCAAATGGTTAGTATTTGCTTAATGACCGTACAATAATTATATATATAATATGCAATAAATTTTGTTGTATTTTCATCCTCATGATGTTTAAAACAGCCATTTACCACTTTTTAAATTAGCCTCGCCAAAAGTGCTTTCTCATTTATTAATGCAGTTTTGTCCAGTTGCGGCGATATTCTTCGGCTGAAACTGTACATAAGCTTGTCCCTCAAACTGTGCCAGAAAAAGTTTATTCACATTTTTGAAATAAAAAATTTGGAGCAGATGAATAATTGGGCATACTTTTGAATAATATTTTGTTGAAATGATCATTTCCAAATGAATAATTTTATTTGGTTAGTTTTTGTTTTACCGAACAAATTTTATCTTTCAAAATCCTTTTTAAGGAAACGAATTAATCGACAAAATGCAGTAAATCAAAGATTAAACAATGAAATTACAAATCTTTCCAAGCAGATGGAATCCATGAAACTTGAAAATCGGAGTTTGTATATCACTGTAGCACAACTGAAAAAGGACCAAGTTGGTTTGAATACTATACATTCAGAAAGTATGGTAAATGTGAATGCTTTATCTGTATAAATTGTATTGAAGAACACTGAAATCATGAACCGATCAATGTTAGACCACCATAACAAGCTTACAATTACCAGGTGGTCTAACATTAATCGTTTTATGATTTCAATGGAACTCAACAATCTCCACAACCCCATACCTATATTAAAGGATGCTTAACAGTAAAGTACTGTTAAATTAACTTCTTACTATACCTTAACTATAATATTGCCAGTTTAAAGCAAACGGAAGTTTAGCACCAATACTGGGGTACAATGTAACCGGTACCTAATGCCAAATTTAATCTTAATAGCTCACGATTACTCAGTGCATATCATACATCTCCACCAGTTAATTCTGAATTGACATATTATAGACTGATCATACTTCACTTCTGTACACCTCGATCTGTTTGAAAACTTTGATCACTGTTTGTTTCAAGTCTCCAAAAATGTTATTTACTAGTTTTGTTTAATGGACCAACTTTTATTAGTCCTACTAAGCTTCTGTTTTAAATTTTTTCGTCACTGATGAAAAAAATGTGTGGGTTGTAAAAATGTGTTTTAAAATTCCATGACATATATATATATATATATATATATATATATATATTCTAGCTGTACAGAATATTCAAATGGGTACTAGAAGGTTTACTACTAATATAACGATTCAGTAGTGGTCGGATAAAAAATCTAATTCCATCTTGTAAACAGCTTTCTATAACATTTGGATTGTTTGTTACACACCTTCGGTAACTAGAGTAAAATATCTCTTTAACTTCCTATTTGATGAATTGACTCTTTCAATGACGAAATGTTTGTAATTTTAGTTTACCACTTTATATCTGACAAATGTTTCGGGAATGATATTGATGATTTTTATTAATAAACCATTCTACTAAGCTATAGAAAATGATTTGGTCAAGTTTTCTGCTAGCTGAACAATTTGCGTTATCATTTCATTATTTGGGTACTTCACATGTATCATTTGACTTAAACAGACAACTTTCATTGGCCAGTGATTGTGCCCGACGTTAAGCCACTAAGTCAAATTTTCGAACCTTGCTCCATTTCAGTATGTACAACTGGATATTTTCATAAGCTCTCGTACTTAATGTGACTCCAGGTCAAGTACATAAATGTGTACTCGGTAAATGAGATAAATACTCTGAAATATCTGTATTTCTGATTTAGTGAGGTTTTTTCGGCCAAGAGAGATGTTTTTAGTGACGTTGTGTCTTGTAATTTAGACCATTTAGCTGTAAAGGTCTCATTACCGTTTTAGACAGGATATTACTGCCAGTAATTGGGAACAAGAGTTGTTGTCAAACTGTGTATTTAGTTATCACTAATAGTCTCTTGTAGTTTGAACATTTCATTTGCCTGACCTTCCAACTTCAACTCTGAAATTGTGGGGATTTATCACTTTTCTCATTAATTAGTAGGTTGATTGAATTTCTTAGCTAACATAGAGGACAAGCTTTCAAAAATTGCCTTGTCTCCTATTTATTTCTTCGGTTCGAAATTTCTCTCTTTTCTTGGCCGGATTTATACCCACATCTATTCAGATCCTGTATCACTCTTCCTGCTGTTATGTTAGTAGATGGGTACTTGTCTTGTGTTTCTTTATCATCTTGTCCTATATTCCAGCAGTTGAAAGTACTTTATTTCTGTAATAATAAATTCTCTGTTATTTAATTCCCCATTCTTTTATTGTGTATTTCAATTATCTAGGAAACAGTTAGTCGCATAAATCAATTGGAGTCTGAATTAAAACATTACCAAAAGACAAACGAAAAAAATTCTGAACTTGTTGAATCAATTCGTAGTCATTTAAATGAATCAAATAAACGATGTAATCAATTAACCCGATATTTATCTGTAAGTGGTCTGCTTCATTTTCTTTACAGCAGGGTCTAACTTTTTCTCTGTATGATATCATGAAAAAATCGTTAAAAGGGAGTCATAGATTTGTCCACAGATCTTACTATTTGGTGAATACCATGTGGATTATATTTTTTGACTTCGAAATTAAACAATCAAATGTTGTAGTAATACAGGTAATACGATGTTCCTTGGATATTTATATACTCTGGCGATAAATATCGTCTGTGAGATTTTGTACCCTAATAGAATCGTAGAATACGCGACTTTGGGGAATCAAGTCACTACTCAATAAGTAATTTGCCTAGATTCTTTTTTTTATGAAGTAGTATAACGATTATAATTGAACTGTGAATTTCTCAGAACACCATCTTTACTACATCCTCGAGATTTTGACGGTAATGTCAATTATTTCTTGACTTGTTCGGTTATTTTGAGTCGCGTATTGCTTTATCAGTTTGTTTGCTGTAGTCTTACTAGAAATTATTTAGTACATGTGATGCTTTTTTACAATTCTAAAATCACGTCATTACTTACTTTATTGATTGAAACACTCATCTGAAAACATAAATACTGCGAAAAAAAGGCATCAAAATAATTGTTCACTATACAAACAAATGAATAAATTATTGAATAGATAAATGAAGAACAGTGAATCTAGTCCAAAAAATAATTAAACAACTCAAAATAAATTAACAAAACTAGTACATAGTGGGAGAAACAGTTCAAATGGATAACAGCCCGAAATGATTTTCTCAGTCAAGAGAGTTCCTTTCATTTTTATTGGACAATGTAATAGAAAACGATAGCAGGATCTCCAGTGGCTCCTATTATGAGCTGTTTCTGATAACGTCAGAAGTTGTCGAGTTGTACTGTTTCTGAGAGCCCAACTAGAGGTAGTCGTGATGGACCACCAGGTGATACTCCAATGTAGCTTTCTTTCGTTTGACAGTTCCATGTCATAAACTGACTACCTTTCCACTTTTTCCAACCAATCCCAACGTCAGAAAACAGATCAGGATGTGGAGGTTGTTGTGATTACGTTTGAGCCACCGTAGCCGGTGTCTCTAAGCAGTGACATCCCTGCTTCAATTCAGGCACGCGGGCAGTATCACAGCTATCACACAAATCAATGATATTTTTGTAGCGCATATGTATTTGGTGCCCTCTTGTACCAATGTTTATGTGTTCAAATAAATAAAAAAAACGGTGACACCAAGTCAGTTGTCGTCACTGTGCCCGAACACACACTGCCGAACTTCCTCACTACTAACATGGTGTTGCCACTGAATGTTAGTTATCTTTCAGAAACAACGCTGATCGACCGATCGGTGGCAAAGCTGAGAAGGAATACTGAAATTGGGAAAGCTTGCCTAACCCCGCTACCGGAATGGAAAAATGCTGAGAGGTGTTTGTGTGCCTCCACTCTGTCTTAAGTTTTTGTATACAGAGCCTTCAAGCTGTTAACAAACTTGTCATCCACATCCTATTTCGAAAGACAATCCCAGAGTACACTTTTGTTCAGTGAGTCTAAATTGACCATGATATCACCTCTATTGCTTCGCTAGAGTTCCGAACACCGGCTTCAAATATGCAGCAGATGTCGATATCACGACTTTCTGAACAAATAACCAAACGTACGTGTTATCTGATCTGCATTCAAGTGGGAACGTTAGAGGTCAGTTTAAGTGGTACACGTAGTTTCAGAAATACTGATCCAGATTCCGTATTTGGTGGTAACATTCAAAATTTCTACTAGTTAGCAACTTGAGATAGTTTAAACAGTACAGATTTTTAACCGAAGACCACTGTTTGAAGGTTAGTAAAACTATTAGATTATGGAAGCCAATTTTTATGGACTGTAGTATTTCGGACGCATTTTTCGACATTTATTTTGTACAGGAATATTATGTTTCGAACTGCTGTCGTTGCATATAAATGTCACCAGCTGTACGTTTTGTTATCTAAATACTCATATTTTGTGAAAGATAGGCAAACAAGTCATTTAGAATATTAAACCGAAAAAACTCATAAGCGTAATGTTATATAATAATAGTTTTCTGTAGATCCATGTGTTGTGTAACTCCGCCTGTAGCTCGTTTAGAGTCACTGCCGGTCCCAAACTCGGGTTAGTAAGGAAGGTTGGGCATGGGGTCGACAACCCCATCCCATAGAAAAACGTCTTGCTGAAAGAACGCCAACCGGATTAAATAAATTAAATCCTTTAAACTCTGTCCTGCGAGTTAAGGAAAGAATTATGACGCCTCTTGGTGAAAGCCGAGATTCTCTGGAATTCACGAGGCCGATGCCCCTTCTAACAACCCCTGCAACAATCAATTTAAGTTCATGGAACGTCTGGACAATGTGGGAGGACCAGTGAAATAGCTACGCAAATAAGGAGTTACAAATTGGCAGTACACGAAATCAGAGAAACCCAAATGGCTCAGGCTGAACAACAAAGGCCTCTGTACTCCAGTCACGAAAAGCAGAATGCTCCACACACTCAGGGAGTTGCTCTGATGCTGTCCTAAAAAGGACGTAGTGCACTTATGAGATGGGAATCTCATGGACCCAGGATCATGAAAGCATCCTTCAAAACAAAGAAGAAGGGGATCACAATGAATGTTATCTAACGTTATGCACCCACCAATGATAGTAACAACGACAATAAAGACCAGTTTTATGAGAGGCTGCAATCAATCTTAGCTAAGCGTCCAAGAAAGGATCTCACTATCCCGATGGGAGACCTAAGCGCCAAAGTCGGGATGGACAACACTGGATATGAAGATATCATAGGACGACATGGACCAGGAGAAGAAAACGAGAATGTTGACAGATTTACAAACCTATTTGCGTTCAACAAATTGGTTATAGGTGGCACAATAATCCCACACAAACGCATACACAAAGCTACATGGGTCTCACTGGAGAACCAGATACATCATATTCGTATCAATAAGAAGTTCCAAAGGACAATAGAAGACGTGAGGAGCTGACATAGCTTCAGATCACCACTAGCTGCTTGTGGCCAAGATGAAACTGAAGCTAAAGAAACAATGGACAACTAGGAAAACAGCATTACAATGGTTCAATATAGCCTTCCTTCGAAATACTGACAAACTCAACCAATTCAAGTTAGCTTTCAGCAACAAGTTCTAAGCCTTACACGATCCACTGAAAGAAGAAACTATTATGTAGGACAACTGTAAAGGGATCAAAGAAGCACTAACTTCAAGGTGTTAGGAGGTTCTGGGCCGCAAGAAGCATCACCATAAGGAATGGATGTCTATGGAAACCCTGGACAAGACTCAGAAAAGGAAGAAAAGAAGACGGCAATTAACAACAGCCGAACAAGAACAGAGAAAGTCGATGCACAAGCTGAATACACTGAGGCAAACAAACAAGTGAAGAAGAGCATTAGAAAGGACAGGCAGAAATACGTGAGAGCTAGCAATGACAGCAAATAAAGCTGCAAGAGGAGGGAATGTGAAACAACTATATGACACAACAAAGAAGCTAGCAAGAAAATATGGTAGACCAGAGAGGCCGGTCAAGGGTAAAGAGGGCAAACCAATCACTGAGATTCAAGAACAGATGGGTAGAACAATTCGAGTAACTCTTGAATAGACCTGCTCTATTTAATCCACCGGGTATCGAAGCAGCACCTACCGTCCTTCCAATAGATGTCACTCTACCAGCGACCAAAGACTTCAGGATGACCATCAGACAAATCAAGAGCGGGAAATCAGTAGAATTTGACAATATACCAGGTGAAGCACTGGAGTCATACATAGAAGTAACTACAAAGGTGCTTCATGTTGTATTCGGGAAGATTTGAGAGGAAGAACAAGTGCCGACGGACTGGAATGTAGGACACCTCATTAAGATACCGCAGACAGGCGATCTGAGTAAATGTTAGAATTACAAAGGCATCACACTGTTGTCAGTACCAGGAAAAGTTTTCAACAGAGTATGCAGAACCAGATGGAAGAGTCAGTAGACGCCCAACTTCGATATCAACAGTCTGGATTCTGTAAGGATCAGTCGTGCACAGACCATATTGCGACATAACCGATCATCATCGAACAATCAGTTGAGTGGAACTTGTCACTGTACATCATCTTCATTGACTATGGGAAGGCGTTTGACAGTGTGGACAGTAGAACATTATGGAAACTTCTTCGACACCATAAAGTTTCTGAGATTGCCAACATTATCCGGAACTCATACGACGGACTACAGTGCCAAGTCGTGCATGGAAGACAGCTGAAAAATGCATTTCCCAGTAAGGACCGGAGTAAAAAAACCTGCCTACTCGCCCCCTTCCTCTTTCTTCTGGTAGTTGACTGGATAATAAAGACCCTGAAATCTGAGGGGAAGCACGGAGTACAATAGACATCTCAGAATCAATTAGACTATTTGGACTTCGCAGATAACCTATCCCTCCTATCCCATACACACCAACATATGCAGACAAAGACAACTAATGTAGCAGCAGCCTCTGCATCAATAGGCCTCAACACACACAACGGAAAAAGCAAGATTCTCAAATACAACGCGGAGAACACGAACCTGATCACACTTGATAGCGAAACCCTGGAGGAGATGGAAACATTCACGTACCTGAGAAGAATCGTTGATAAACAAGGAGGATGTGATGCAGACGTGAAGGCGAGGGTTGGCAAAGCAACGACTGCATTCCTACAGTTAAAGAACATATGGAACTTGAAACAACTGTCAACCAATATCAAAGTGAGAATCTTCAATACGAGCGTCAAGACAGTTAGTTCTACTGTACGGAGCTGGAACTTGAAGAACTACCACAACCATCATCGAAAAGGTACAAGTATTTATAAAGAATTGTTTACGCAAGATACTCAATGTCCGTTGGCCGAATACCATCGACAACAGCTTTTTAGTGGAGAGGACAAACCAGCTTCCAGCTGAAGAGGAAATTAGGAAAAGGTGTTGGAAGTGGATCAGACATACATTGAGGAAATAACCAAACTGCATCACGAGGTTAGCCCTAACTTGGAATCCGGAAGGGAAGCGGAAAAGAGGAAGGCCGAAGAACACATTACGCCGGGAAATAGAAGCAGATATGAAAAGGATGAATAACAACTGGAAAGAATTGCCGAAGACAGGTTTAGATGGAGAACACTGGTGTGCTACCTATGCTCCTCCACGAGTGGTAACGGGTGTAAGTAAGTAAGTAATGTGTTGTGTAACTATACTTAATCCAATGTTTAACTGTTTGACCATTGGACTGGTTTTTATTACTTAATTTGCTAAAACCTACACGTGTTATAAACGTGTAGTATATTCAATAAGATGTGTTCACTTCATCTTATAATGTTCGTGAGTTTATATATAATTATTACCATTATTTTTAACACGTTTAGTTTAACGAAATTGCAGTCTAAACGTACCCTTCTTCTTTTTTGCTGTCACTAATTTTCTTCAGGATTCCCAGTCCTCACTTGAACATAAACAAACTATAATTAAACAATTAGAAGCCAAATGTAAAGGAATGACAAATGTCATTGAACAGATGAATGAGAGGTAAATATAGAAAACAAATCTATTTTATTGAACACTTGTCCGTGAATTACTAGACTCAGAACAAGGTATTGTTTTGCTAACAAAATTAAATTAAGTGTTAGGTTTTTATTGTTAAGTTACTTGGTTTTTCATTATCATCATTTGTCATTCATCATCAGTGAATTTCGATGGATGAGAAACACATCTGGTTCTTCAAAGCCAGAGTTTCATGAAGATGATTACCTTTAAGAAATATGTATGTATAAGCTTGATTAATCGTCTGTTTGATTTTTATCAAAACTCTATGGTGCACTTTTGTAAACAACTTATTTCTGTTTGTGAGTGTATAAAATCTTTTTCTCTAATTCCACGCATTCTTGTTGTCACTTTTTCCTTTATATTTTCGAGATTCAGTTCACTCAGTTGTTGATCAACATTTGCTTTGTACATATATTGTCTTTTTATACCGGATTTATGTATGGATTTAGGATTCAATAGATTAAGAATTGAACAAGTATGTTACATGTTTGAATCACAATTCATTTGCGTACTTTTTGGGCAATCGGATAGTATGTATTAACCTCTTGCAATATGTGGTTTAAATGTAAACAAATTATCGCCTACTTAGTGAGCAAGTGTTTTAGTTTCCCAAACTATATTTTACTGTAATTTGAACTTCAATACCTTGGATAACTGAAACACCACTAAGATATAAGTAATTGGACATCTTCGTGATTTAGTAGTTACAGCTAATAAATTTAACCACTAATTCTCATATTCAACTTTGTTTTGAGACAATTGTATAATATCACAAACTCACGCAAACGGTGTGCCTCAAAGCTGACTGTTATATACTAGGGAAAAAGTAAGTACTGATAACTTACGGGACCTCTTATTAGACTACTCTATTTATATTCCTATGGTATAACTATTCAGTAACTGGATTATCTATGTCTATATTCATCTTATTACTAGCTTCATTTTGACTTACTGATTATTATTATTATATGGTTTATTGTTCCTAAATTATACTCGGTTTATTGAGTACTGTCTCCCACGCTTCCAGCCTCATTTGGCTTGATTTTGTACAAATATTATTTTCTATTTTATGGTGTGGTATGGTCTGCCTGTTTGGTATATAGACAAAGTATGTTTGAAATAAACGATTCGCATTACAGCAGCTGCTATTGGTGTTTTGGACTCAAGTGGACGGGTTGGGCGGATAAGGACCAATAAGGGCGCTATATTACTCATACTAATCGAACGTCATTGTCACAGTGTGAAGGTCGTAGAAGTCGTATTCTATTGGTGGATAATTTACGCGACTTACGTCCTTGTTTACTTCGTAAGGTCATAATGAATCAGCGACGACCTTGATGAAGTCATAACAATTGGCTACAGTCTAGGTCAAAAACATAACACTGACCGCCTAATCCTTTCATTGATAGATAAGTTGCGTTAGTTTAAGGACCAACATAATGCAAAATTGGTTACAGTAGTGCAGATTCGTTTATAATTTTTACCATAACTTGTGAGTTCTAGTATTGACTTATGTTTCTTAGTTATCGTTTTTATTGTTTTTTTTCAAAATATATTTCTTGTCTTAGTTCACTACCTTCATCGAGATCATAATTTCGACTCCGCCTTAAATCTTAATTTCCTGATGATGCGAAATGTTACTACTTAAACCAATGCAAATTTGTGCCGATTTCTGCGTTCTCTATGACTGACAGACGAAACATTAGTAGTGTATTTATGAAGGCTTAACTAATAAATATTATGTAATCCGAATAACATTATATATATATATATATATATATATATATATATTTCGTCGTTCCATTTTTTATTTAATAAATTTTTCACTTTTTTGTTTACACTCAGAATAGCTAAGCTTGCCAATGAAAAGGTTTCACAGGAACGAGATTTATATAAACTACGTGAAGAGTTGTCAAACGCAGACACAAGATCTGTTGAGCAGTTAAAAGTGATTGAAAATCAAACTAGTCACATCGAAAGATTAGAAACTGAATTGAATCAGCAAACAATCGAGTTGGATAATTCGAAAATGGCTTCCGATCAGCTAATTTTGTGTAAATTAGTAAGATTAATTAATTGTATAAATTTTAGTATTATGGTCATTATTTCTATTCAATAAATGCTATTTCAGTGATGATTTCTGGTCATTATTCAGTGTGTAAGTTATGCTTATGTCAGAAGAAAACTTCACTAAGAACACTCGACTTGTTTATTTTTTTCTGCTTTTGTGTTCTGAACATGTGTATTACTTTCTTCTTAAATTAATGTGTTTGAAGTTCATGCCATAAAGTCACCCATAATTGCATTGTAGGTCTGGCTCCAATATGCGTTTGCTTAAGTTGCTACACCACTTTAGCACAAGGAGATGAATTTAACACGATAAATAGCCACGGGATGGAAGTGACCGATTTTAAGTCATTCGAAGTCTCCAGTCACTAATTTCAGTTACCGGGCATTTTGTATCTACCAACAGGGCCTAGGTGAATGATCAATGATTTCATGGGTAATGTCATGTTTTAGTTCGACTACCCTTACATTTCTCCTAGCCCACTCCTACACCAGCTAACATTACAAATCAAGGTAAGTGGTGCTTAGCAATGGGCAGTATACGAAGATTTACAACCTCATCAACCTGTTCGCTACCTTTACGTAGTACTTTTGTGTAACCTCAAAATTACTCTTTCAGTTCTTCAATGAAAGGCCAGTAGTTCTTTGAAGACATTTTTGATCACGTATCCTTGTTTTAATTAAGAGAACCTTCGGAAAAACTTGGGTTATTTTCCAATATTAATAAATTGAGAATTTGTTTGATTTATCTTTGATCAAAGAACACTAGTGATTGTTATCATTATTCACTGTTTTGTTTCCTTCTGCACACTAGTTGTTGCTTTCTCTTCTACTTACAGTTTCTGATGGCTTCTGATCTGTCAATGTTTTTCAAATGAGAGATCTTCATGTGACGTTAATAAATTATCAATACCATTCTCAAAAATTCATCCTTTACTAATGGTGTTCTTAAAAGCTTTATGGTAATTTAGTAATCTATGCAGTCGGCTTATTAAGTCAACTCATCGGGCTTTCTTTTCAAATTTAATCTTAGCTGTAAAGCTTTTTTACTGACAGTGTCTTGTTGAGTGAAGACATTCACAATTTTGAGAACTATCATAATATTTATGTCTCAGAGTTTTCATTTTTTTCGAATTTATTTATCGTACATCCCTTTGCATAAGTAATATTTGTGTTTTTACCAAGACGTTTAGATATATTTCAATTTACTTGAAAGAATGTTAAAGTTTGAAGACAGATGTACTGTGTGATCTCAGTAGTTTGACACATAACCTCTCAGTGTATAGATAATTTGGTAGGTTAATTTATTTTAAATTTTCATCTAGTTTCACCTAAATTAATTAAAAATCTATTTTAATTTGTTTTCATATACCATCCCCCTATGGTATTATAAGCGGTCACCTAAATCATGGCCCAAGTCAATTTTCATTTCCAAACCACAATATTCCTTGCTGATACGGAAAGTTTATATTTTAAAGACCAAATGAAAAGATGTTCATTCGATGTAAAATTTTTGTAAGATGCCTTACTATTTCAATCCTATTACTTATAGGCGGGTTCATTTTATTTTTACGATCACTCCTATTGATAATTGCAACATGGATATTTGAGTTTTGTGTCGGTTTTCGAAATATTACTTTTCTCATTTTAATTTTTACTGTGTTCATTATTTTTCACTGATAACTGTAGTCAGTCAAAGTTATTTTACAGCATTTTTTATCCCAAGGTTTTTAAAGGTTGGCAAACGTATTTTTAGCATTTGATTTACCTGCTTACATTCACAACGAAAGTAGACCCTGGAAACAGAAGAATCGGTCTTGTCCTTACTATCGTCTTTTAGTTTCAATTTTTAAATCATAGTCACTGGGAATGATTTTTCTATCATTTATTATTCCTTGTGTTCATTGCTGTGATTGTTTCTTCAGACTCACGTCTAATGTTTAAAACATGCTTGCCAGGTTTCCCTTTTCCCATTTTATCTGTAGGTTTCTTAGCTTATGTGCTTTTTGATATTATCCTTATCATTTATGGTGATAAAATGAGTTAATAATATAAGTCCTAATTTTTTCGTGCCCACATAATTAAAAGTGTGCCAAATCATTCTAAATTAATTATTCTGATGAATTTTATGTTTTCACCATATAATCGTTCATTAATTTTTGCTTTCTAGGAAGTTGAGGAGTTGGATAAACAACTTAAAGTCTGGCGCAAACGGTGTGAAGAACAGGAGTGTAGTTTATCCGAAATGGCTGCTGTTGTGAATTCGAGTAAGCTTGAAGCTGAAAGTTTGCGTGAGTCACATAGTGCATTCAGTGATGCTCAATGGGCAAATGATTCTGAAAATCCAAACTGTTTTCTTTGTCAGAGTCCGTTCAATGTTAGTCGTCGTCGGGTATGTTGTTTCTGTATGTATAATAATTAGACTTCTCATTTATTCATTTTGAAAGCCTATCATAAGAAACAGTTATTTCTAATATCTCTTCTTGTTGTTGGACAAGTTATAGAATAGTTACATACTGGTTTACTGTACAAATTATAAGAATTTTTGAGGTAAATTAAACCAGGTTTAAGTTTATAATTTTGTGTGTTCAACTTAAACAGTAAACCTGTTGAATTTACACTTTGTATTAATTTCTTGTTGATGTTGACAATTCTGCTTTCGCTGTATTGTCTAGTTGGCGTAGAGATGATACTTAATAAAACACTGGTGACCTATAATACCTAACAACAGATCATATATCATAAATTGTATTAATTAGATTTAACCATTTGATTAGATACAGTTCTAAATTTCAGTAAAGGGTTGTGGAGATTGTTGAATTTTGATTGAAATCATGAATGACTCAATGTTAGGCCACCATTGAAAACCTGGAAACGCTTGACGACCGTTTCATCCTAGTATGGGACTCCCCAGTAGTGCGCGTTCATGGTTTCGCACATGGTACAGTGGGTGCGCACTGCTGAGGAGTTCCATACTTCCAAATATCTTTATAGGTCCCGTCGTAAATGGTTTGAACGATTTAGAAAATCTGACCTTTTTGTCGTATATTTAAGGAATATAAGTGCTTTTCTAATCCTCACCTAATATTTTCCAGTTTCTGACTACCTGTTATTGTCAAAATAAACAGTTTAATTATCCGCTGTACATATTGTTAGAAAAGAACATAATGTAATGTGCAATCAGATCTAGCCCCGATAGTATTTGGTACCAATTATCATGAAACAGCTTTATCGTTTTTCTGTTATATGAATTACAAGGTGTAAATTTACCATTTGTATGTTATCAATATCTTCTAAACATTGTAACCCGCCTATAGGACAATAAACTTCAAAGGGACTTCAATAAAGTTTCAACATGGTGATAAGTTTATTGTTTTAACGTAGATTTACAAATGAATAACATTAAAATGTCTACTACCAAATCGCTAAAGATGAATGGTTCATGCACCTTGTTTTTTGATTAAAGATTCTAGCCAATGTTTACGAATAACCGAAAAATCATGACTAATAAGATGGAATGTTATATCTATCAGAACACGTAATTTATACTCCTAGCGTATAAGAAACTGAGAATTCGTGTTGTTAACAAAAAGCCATCTATTCAGTTAACTGAATACCACGTGAAAAGTCACAATTTGTTCTTCTCATTGGTTTAGTTTCGGTTATCTGATTTCTACCATAATTTTTTGCATCGTGCTCTAATTATAGCTTAGTGATGTCAAATGATTCTTCCTCTCCTTGGTACATAACAGTTTGTTATCCATTTTAAAATTGGATTTCGGGATTGAATTTTTTCTATTTTTCTAGCACCACTGCCGAAATTGCGGCCTGATATTTTGTCACGAATGTTCATCCAGGAAAATGATTCTACCAAGTTCTGCCAAACCTGTACGAGTATGTGATACATGCCATGGATTACTTTTACATCGCTATAATGCTAAATAAACCATAAGAAATAACTTTCATTTATAACAGATTGCCATTTCATACAGTCGTTTTAACAATACACTTTTCAAGTAAATAACTAAAAAACATACTTTTTTAGGTCTGAGCATAATAAACCAGTGTGATATATTAGACTAATGACTTTTATGTTCATTATGTTTTGTCATTTTCGTTTCCAATTCCATCATCAGTTTTTCTTTTCACACATTTCTCGATTTTTTGGTGTAATTTGACTATTGTATGTATTTTGCCGTATAGTTTATTCTATTTCGTTCATTAATTTTTAATTCTTTTAAATAGATGAAATCGTAAACTTAGATTTTTTACTACTCCTATGCTTCATTAGTTTTTTTTAAACCCATCTTAGTCATTTCACCTTGCATACTATTTTGATGTGAAATAATTTTCGAGTATAATTTTCCCTCCATCACCCTATTTAGAACAAGTTAATGGTGGTCGGTTCTGTTTTCTTTTGTAGTATGAGAACTTAAGTTTTGATTCCTAGACGCTCCCTCACACACTTCTAAAACTGAAGTGTTTTTCACCAAATTATTCTCACTTCAATTGTCCTTTTATAGGTTACCAGTGTACTCGGTGTATTCACATGTCTATCAGATCTTAAGCACCAATTATTCACATCTTATTCATACAATTATCTGCAATTTAGAATTTGAATCACAAGAATTGGAAATAAGTCTGTGTTTTTAAGCTGGAAGAATTCAGTCGAGAATTTTTACAACTTGAGCCCTCACTTTTGAAGGTATAATCCCTGTATATAATCGGTAGTCATTCATTCAGTAACACTGAAATTATGTTCTCTGAATGAGTCTAACGGTTTCCAGACTTGGAGATTTTACCCGGGTCTTTATCAGTACATGGAAATCTCATTTACTCACTTAACTATGCTATACGAATGCACTAATATTCTTTGACGACTGTTTAACTGTGGATCGCGTAAAGACGTAAACTGATAGTAACCTGCAAATTTAAATCAGTTATCAGAATCTATATAAGATGCGTCAGTTGCTAGTACCTATGTTTTATCCTCTAAGTGGTCGATAGCATAATTAAGAACAATGAGTGGACTGCTAATTACAGGGCATTACGAACGATGATAAAGTGACCAAGTGCACAAGAACATGGAAAGGATCGATAGAATTTGATCGGAAGTACTTTTAAGGGAAATATTAGAGACAAACCAGGTTAATCGGAGAATCACTGTGATACCCAATACATGGAGAAAGTAAGGAACCAAAAAATTCTGTTGTATGCACAGCGTTGTTTATTGAATGTAATACACATCGTTGTTTTGCGTAGTGATATGCAAAAAACAGCCATATAGTTCCGTATGGAAAAAAAGTGTCCACTAATGTCAGAGTATGTGACACTAGTCAGTAAAAATGAACATCCAGTGTTTTTTTTTAATGTATGTGAAGGTGTTCAATATGATGTGAGTTTGTTAAAAAAGAAAAATACATATCATTTCGTGTTTGAAAATAATGTTTGATTTTGAGTGTAAAACGAAATAATTTGTGGTGTTAAGTCGATAAGATTTACAAAGTACTTATTAAGTGCTCTACATTATCGTGTACGGTTTGTAGTTAAAAGAGAGTTGACTGTAGCCGTGAGTGGAGTTACTCTAATGACTCATCATGTTTGGGTAGAACGAATTTTGCTCGTTCAAAGTTATTATTTGTATCATGGTTGAATAAGCTGACGTTAAGGAAGAAGTCTATTTTCGGATTGTCATTTTAACTAAAATATTGTTTCTTCCGGTTTTTGAATACATTGGTGTTAGTCTTGAATGTTTAGTGAGTTCCTGTGGACGTTTGGTATTATTGTCAAAGAATAAAGCTTTTCAACCAGCGAGTTATTTCTGTCCCAATGGCACAGCAGAATTTCCTGTGGTGTTTTGCTTTATATATTGATCAATGATCTCATTCTCAACTGCAGGTGCATCGGAAAAAATGAAATAGTTTTATGCATTTGAATACGTCGTTCTTTTGCTCATTGTCTAGAAACATTCCCTTTGGGAGATCTACAGTAGTTGCTAAGGGGAATGATTCTTTATAACGCGATTTCAACTGGTTTTGGATATCAATCAAAAGTCCAACGAAGTTTTGAGGAGACAGGTGTTAACTAACTTGTTCAGGGCAAATACTTAGATAGGGAGGAACAGGTTTTGGTTGTTGCATGTTTTGTAATGCGGGACTCAGTCAGTCATTCACAACGTAGAACTTCGTACGTACGTACATCAGTTCGAGTTGCCATACCACATTAGCACAGAGATGCAGTTGTCGATTCAAATCCCATAGTAGTAGGAGTATAATCAGAAATCCAAAAGATTAGGGTTTGAAGAAATTATTGAAGGAGTATAGTACAGTGAAATAAATTTGGAAAGAGAAAAAGATGAAGACATGAGGAATTCAGAAGATTAGAATTTGGTAGAACACAAAGAGTGGATGCACCTTCGCCATTGCAAACGATTTTGAGCCATGTCATTCAAGGTCTCTAACCATCGGTTGCTGTCATCTCGCGAATCCCAACCAGGTAGTCTACACCTACCAACATGGCCCAGTCCACTTGTCAGTGACTTCATTGATTTGTGCCACGTTTTGGTCTGGCCACCCCTAGATTTCTTCCAACCTACGCCTACACCATGGAACATTGCACGTCGGGCATACGTAACACATGTCCCAGCCATCTCAACTGATGAAGTTTCACTACTTCATCAATCGATTTGCTATTCCTACCTAGTACTCGGTTCCTAAGAACTGCATTACTTACCCGGTGGTCCCAGGACATACGGGCAATGCTTCGAAGACACCCATGATCGAACAGTAGAAGCCTGCGAATATCCTTTACTCTTATCGGCCATGTTTCACTGCCATAAAGTAGGACGGAGCGAACTGCTGCACAGTAAAAGCGTCCTTTGGTTGCTAAACGAATATCTCGCCTACGCCATAAATGACGCAAGTTGGCGAAAGCTAGACGAGCCTTCTGTATCCGTGCTGAGATTTCGTCACACACAAGAGCCGATGAGACTCTCAAGATAAGTGAAGCAGTCAACACGCTCAACTACTTCACTCCCTATCATTAGTTCAGGTGTCGCTGCAACCCAATCCTGAAGTAACATTTTGCACTTCGAGGGAGAGAATCGCATCCCGAACATGCCTGCATAGTTGCCTATAGTGGTCAGAAGACTCTGCATGTTGTTAGCGTCTTCACCGAGTAAAACTATGTCGTCGGCGTATTCCAAGTCAACAAGTGAATCTCCCGGTAAAAGTTCAACTCCTGGAGGTTTAGCTGATGAAAGTGCTATCTCTAAAAGCTTGTCAATGACAAAGTTAAACAAGAATGGGGAGAGTGGACAGCGCTGACGAACGCCACTTGTGGTAATCAGTTCTGATGACAGTTCGCCATAGGCTCTAACTCGACCAGTTGTGTTCGAGTAGAGAGCCTTTATGAGGTTAATGTACTTCTTTGGTACTCCTTTCACCGACAAATACTGCCATAGAACCTCACGATCAACGAAGTCAAATGCCGCCTTAAGGTCAAGAAATACTACTATTGTGGGACGTCTGAATGTGTGTCTATGTTCTAGGACCTGACGTAGAGTGAATATCTGGTCTATGCAACCATGTCCAGGTCGAAAACCAGCCTGGTTTTCCCTATTCTGCTCTTCACGAGCTTTGGTTAGGCGACCTAGTATTATTAAAGCTAATATTTTAGACACTATATTAGTCAAACTGATCCCTCTGTGATTGTCACAGGAGGACTTTTGTCCTTTCTTATAGACTGGCACAATCAGTGATTGTGACCAGTCACATGGAATTACGTCCAGTTCCCAGATTCTACCTAAGACCTCAGTCAATCTCACTGCTAGTACTGGACCACCATCCTTAAAAATCTCAGGGGTCAACTTGTCAGGGCCTGCTGCTCTCCCTCGCTTCAGACTTCCTATAGCTTTTTCAACCTCATATAGGGTTGGAGGACTCAATTTGCCATTCAGGACGACTGGGGATCGTGGGTAATTGAAGTGTGACTGAAGGCCAGTTGAACTGATCCCTAAAGTGTTCTGCCCATCGATCCAATCTCCTGGATTGAGAATGAATAATATGCCCATCTTTATCTGAGATGGTTTCACTGATATTCGGGTTCCTAATACCGGTTTCTTTAACGAGTCTGAATAGCTGTCTACTGTTACCTATTGCCGCTGCCTTTTCCATCTCTCTTGCTTTCGCTACCCACCACTGTTCACGATCATTACGTAGGCTTCTTATAAGCTTGCGCTTAAGTTGACTCCGCTCTTCGTTATGTTCAGAGCCAGGTGGGATGAGATTACGAGCATCTATCAGTGCGGTAGATGCTGCCGAGATCCATTGTTTCTCCCTGACCTTATGGTTTACCTTACTTGCGGATATCACTGCTGTTTCCACAGCTTTTCGGATGTCATTCCACGCTGCTTCGAGGTGGACACAACTTACATGGCTGCCTAACTGTTTTTCTAGTTGTTCCTGAAATATATTCTTAGCTTGCCTATCATTAAGTAGAACCCTTAGAGGCTTCCCTGCAGTGTCTTTCCTACGACCAGTAAGACGCAGACAGATACGTGCTCGCACTAGAGCATGATCTGAATCTAAACATGTGCCCCAAAATGAGCGACAGTCTTCTATTGAGCCCCTCTATCGGTGTCTGATAGTGATGTGATCTAATTGGGTCCAACGTTGGGACGAATTCGGGAGTCGCCATGTCAAAAGATGTTTTTCCTTATGCTTAAAGTTAGTATTTGCAAGAATTAGTCGGTTATCTAAGCATAGCTGCAACAGACGGTCGCCATTATCTGTTCTTTCCGCCATGACACCATAAGATCCACCCAGGTGTCTTTCCCTTTCACTTAGTTTGCCTACTTGAGCATTAAAGTCACCAGCCACTATTACTACATCAGAACGCCTAGCTTCTCGGAGAAGGTCGGAAAGTTTCCTGTAGAACTCATATTTTATGTCGTCTGAGCTGCAGTCAGTGGGAGAGTAGGCAAAGACGACGAAGAGGTAACGACGAGTCTTCCTATCTTTCCGGGTCCTTACTGATCCGTTTAGTCGGACAGCGCATAGACGACTGTCTACTGGGATCCAGTCTAAAAGAGCTAGTTCTGCCCTAGGACTTAATGCTATACTTACTCCAGCGAGGCCACGGGAAGCAGCATCAGGGCTTCTAGATACACGAAGCGTGTGTCGAGATGGTTCTTTATTTTGATTAGGTGAAGTCAAATGAATGACACTACTCGGATATTGTATACGCGTTTCGGAGACGGATCACACATCGATGGTGTAAGATTCTAGAGTCCTAGCTAAGGAAGCCTGTTGTCCTATTTGGCACAATGTTCGGACATTAAAAGTTCCTATATGTAGTTTAGAGCGTGGTTTCAGGAGACCAGGAATAACGTTCTGTGTACTCG